TTTTCTGATTGTAGAGTGCCTGTTCCTTGGGATGGAGATGCTAGCTGGCTGGCTGGGCTTTCTCACTGGCTTAGGTGACGGCCTCTCATGGTCTCTCCGGATTTTTAACTCACATGCTTAAACTATTGGGGTTCTCAGGGACTCATCCAGCTGGTTGTTAAAGTATGAGTGCCAAGTATTGTTGTGATTTAACAGTCACATAAATCCAAGTTACAGGATAAGGCAGCACCCAGTGCTTGGAGGGTCGGCAGATAGGGACTTCAAGGTTCCTTAAAGGTGTGGGTATTGACTGTGAATCCAGAAGACTGAGCAAGATCTGGAAGGCCAGGTTTAGGACCCTTTGAAGAAGTCACTAGAAGTGGGAGGTGTGGCTCAGAGTTTGTGGTTGGCAGGGGCCAGGGTATATGGGGTGACCCAGGGTATACAGGAGGGAGACAGGGGTACCTCTAGAAGGAAGCTGGTCCTGCGGCTGAGAGGAAAACAGTAGTATAGCTTGGTGCCAATTGAGGACACTGAAATAAAAAGGTAACAAAAGTCAAATAATGCTGAAAAACAGAAAAATGAAAATTAAAATATTTACCTTCAATTTGACTCAATTTGATAATGCTATGCTATTAAGATAGATGAAGCAGGGGCTGGAGATGGCTCAGTGTTAGGCATGTGCTGCTCTTTCAGAGACCTGATTGTTTCCAGTCAGCACCCGCACTGGGTGGTTCAGTTACCTGTGACTCAGCTCTCTGGGATCTAGTACTCCCAGCCACAGTGGGCACCTGCACTCACGTGCACATACCCCACATACGAATAATTAAAACTAACATAAACCTAAAAAAACAATTAGATGGCGCCCATTCCAGACATTTTTCTGTGGACACAGGGAGACAGGTGGGCACACTGCAGATCTGTACTCCGCAGCACGTGGACTCGCTTCCCTCGTGAGCGCTCGTGCTCCAACAATGATTACCTGTGCTGCTGCTGGCCTCCCACAGTAGCAGGCTCTTCGTGTCAAACCTCGGACCTTTCAGTGTGCTTTCCCGAGGTTCTTGCAGATCTTCTCACTATGCTGTTCCTTTCAATTACATAGGACCTTGCACTTCAAATTCACTTACCCTGACCGTGTGTGTGTGTGTGTGTGTGTGTGAGAGAGAGAGAGAGAGAGAGAGAGAGAGAGAGAGAGATATTTGTACCAGGCCTGCTCTGTCGTTCAGTGCTTTATTCTTTGAGGCAGTGGCTCTCACTGAACCTGGAGCTAAGCTGGCAGCCAGCAAGCCCCAGCCATCCTGTAAGCACACCCTCACCTGCCATAGGTGGCCCAGCTTTTTACTTGGGTGGCAGGATCCAAACTCAGGTCCTCACACTTGCTTGAACAGCAAGTTCTCTTATCCACTGAGCCATCTCTCCAGCCCCACTGGGCCTCACAGGCAAGCACAAGTCACTAAGCCTCCACCCCTAGCTCTGCCTTACAATCTCATTCAATATTGCATTGCACTGGAATATTGTTCAATACACAATCGCTTATGTGACCTGGCTGTGTCAAGACATCCATCACTGCATCAAGTGGAGCTCACAAAGCATCAGCTTCACTATCCTGGATGCTATTAGGAGAAGTCCAGAGCAGTCAGAATCAGAGCCAGAACACTGTCTTCCCAGCTGCTCTGGGAGGCGGAGGACTTGTTTCTCTTCTAGGCAGGTGCACTCTGCGGGTCACATGCCTTCCAGTTTTTGTCTTGCTGCTTTTGCACTTATTTGACACCCAAGGGAACTTGCTAGGATTGTATCTGGCTTCTTGCCCTTAATTTCCACTCTCTTTTTCCTGTGTATTATGATTTTGAGATTTCCCCCATTCTTGGGGAGAATCTCAGTAATAGATAGTTCCCCAATTCCCTGTGGAATTTTTGGTTTTAAGTCAGTTATGTTATGCTCTCAGTTCCACCTTATTCTGTCTTCTGGTGGTAGCTTTTTCCATTGCTACTGTCTAAAGAATAGAACCTTAATGAGTTCTTTGCATTTTCAAGTTTGATGCTCTAGGCTGATCTCTGGGAATGGGGCAGGCCCAACCCAGGCTGTGCCGTCTTCTGAAGTCTTCACTGTGGCAAGGAGCACAGTGCAGGGTCACCAAAATGGCCTTTTCAGTGAGTGGTCACTTGGTACAGTCAGTGGCCCTACTGGCAGCAAAATGCAGGCTTAGGTGTCTAGGTGGTGTTGTAGGATACTGGCTCTGGATGCTAGGGTTACTGTTAGGAAAGTGCTCAGAAGGGTGGGCAATGGTGATGCGTCTGCCAGGATGCCAGTAACTGCAGAGCCTGGGGTCTTGATCCTGACAAGCTTTTTGGAAACAGGTAGAGGCCAATAAGTTCTGGGCAAGGACAGTTAGGATTTCTGAGTAACTGCTCTCCTTACCAAGTGTCCCAAGCTGTTGGAACCTCATCAGTTGACATGGCCAAGACCCTAGCATTGAGGCTCCAAGGTTCAGCTTCTCAGAGAAGGGGGTGCAGGGCAGCAATCTTAATTCCCAAATATCACGAGAGATGCTTCCCAGCTTCTAAGAGCCAGGAACAGAATGGGGGAGGACTCCTGAGGACCTGGTGAGACACGGTGCCGAAGCAGATGCCACATGGCACATTGGGGATTTGGATTGCCTTTGAAATCACTCAGAAGGGAATCAATGGTACAAGGCTGGGAAAACTTCTCCAAGCTCAAAACAAGCCAAATGGCTTCCCTTCCGACCCTCTGTTAATACAGAAGAAACAAACTTTAAAATGAAGGGCAGCCACTGAAGGTGTGGTCTCTTCTCTTTTCAGATGATAATTTACTGTGACCTCCGAGAATTCAAGGTTGCGGTTAACGGTGTGCACTACCTGGAGTACAAACACAGACTTAAGGAGCTAAGCAGTATCGACACGCTGGCAGTGGATGGAGACATCCATTTGCTGGATGTAAGGAGCTGGTAGCTACCGTGACCGCAAAAATCCCTGAAATACAGAATGGCTAATGGGCTACTGGCCATGTCAGATGCATCTTGTTTTCACCACATTGTTTATGTTGTTTGAGCTCATAGAACATCAAAATCTACCTGGTGTTCTCAGGCCTGGCCTGGCTATCACTGTTCGGGGGAACAAATCTGGGGCAATCCCAGCTTACGCCAGTGAGGCTCTGCACACACGGCCTCCTCTTGCAAACCATACTCAACAAATATTTAAGTGCCTACTCTAAACTAGTTAATAGGGATGGAAGGCATATTTCCTGTATATATATTCTGAGCTGGACATAGACCCGGTGGTACCCAGGTCTAGTGTAGTCCCTGTTTTCTGGCACTCACTTGCCCATGATCTCCCATTGTAGGGCTTTCCTACATTAATGCATTAATCCCACTAGGGGGCGTCTGTAGTTAAGGTCAGAATAATATACTAATGGATGGAAACTTCCTCAGTGATCCTTTCATAATCAACATCCTATCATATCTCATAATAAGTATAACACTTATTTAGCTCTCACTTTAAGCTTTAAAAAGTACTATGCTGAACACAGCAGAAAAATTGAGGAAAAACCCCTGAATTAGAACAAGTGTTGTGCTCCAAGTAGACTTCTGCTTATTTGCACTCAACTCTGTCTGTGCCTGTGGCAAAGTGCGGAAGAGAATGATAAATACAGTTTGCAAACCTTGGGTAACTCACACCAAGATGAGACTCGGTGAATGTGCAGAACCATCGAAGCAAAACCTACACAGGAGGGTAATGTAAGAAAGTTGAGTTGTAATGTAAGCCAGTCCTTGCCACCTGTCTGTCCATCAGCAGTGAGGTCAGACGCTGCTGTCTGCTAGGGGGCAGCTTGCATCAGCAAGCTCGGCTGCGGCACTCTGTAACTTCTGTGTGACTGAGCTGGGAGAAGCTCTAGGTGAAGTTGTCACAGTTCCAATCTTGGTCTGGATTTCAAAGGTTTGGTGTGGGGACGGGGGGAGAGTAATTTCATCAGGTCATTTTATTATTAAACCACAGGGTAGAATTCTACCAGGGCTTGAGTACTGACAGCCAATTTGCCCAGATATATGTATTCATACATGGAAATAATACCATCACCATTTCTTACTTTTTAGGAAGTACTCAATGCAGCAACTGCAGTCCTTCATTCTTTTCATGTCAACTATTATGCTGACTCTTGAAAAATTTAAGCTGCGGGGGTGGTGGGTGGAGTTGGGCAATCTGTTGGAGCCCAGGAGGCTCTAGAATCCCCACTGCTGCTTCTCCATGAAGAAGGCATGACTGCTGAGACGTTGGGGGCTGAAAGGCATTGGGGAAAATAAAAGCGCATTCATAGAAAAAGCTTATTTTCATTTCTGTTTTATGCAAAGCTACTAAGACTAATTTTGAATAGAATCAGTCTTAATTCTTAGAATCTGGTCTTTAAAAAAAAGTGCTGGAATTTAAGTTGTGAGATGTTTCATTGTAAATTTCTAACTTTTATTTCTAAAGTTCAAAATGGCCTTTTTGCTAATCATAATTCCACATTAAAATTTTGTATTAAATTAGGATACTCTATGGGTACTTCTTCCATGCTGTAGATACTGAAGGCAAACTGATTTATCTCTATTTGCACTCATTTCCAGCCTCGCTGTAACAATACCAGCTAGAGAACTATAGAGCTAGCACCGCTGTCCTTCCTGTCAGCTGTCAGTCTATTTTGTCTCCTCACAGATAGGAAGCTGAACAGTGCAGACAAGCACAGCCCTGTCAGACTGCATGGCAGAGCTGCTCCAGCTGTCAGTCTACCCCAAGTGGCTGTCACCAGGAACTTTCCTTGTTGAATGTTGCTGCCTGATGCCATTTCTTGACCCAGGCCACTACTGTGAGTGTTAGGACCTACAAAATGTATACCACACACAAGATGCTGCAAGGCACAGCAAGATCCTGTGTTTCAGGGAAGCGCTAGGCCTCAGGCACTGAAACTGAGCATGCTGGCCTCGTCCAAAACACCAACTAGGAAGAAGACGAATAGCAGACAGTTTGTATAAAACACCATTCCATTTTCTCCTTAGCAAATCTGTACAAAAGGCAGGAGAGGCTTCTGTGGGAGCCCAGACAGGCAGGGATTTTGTAAAAACATTAAATATTGGGAGATGTAAAAGTACCAAAAATAATATGGCACCACATCCCCCCAAAACCATGAGACTAAAGCGGCGAGCATGAGGCAGCGGTGCGTCCCACTTCAGAAGTAGCTCTGCAGCGGCTCCCCCAGCACGGTCTCCAGCTGCTGGACTGTCTTCTGGCACTGATGCTCCACTTCTTCACATTCGTCTAACAAACAACACCAGCGTTAGAGTGGGTCTGCCAGCCATCCTGCCCAACTGCCACTGTCCCTCAGTGCACAGAAAGCACCCAGCAGGCTGTGACCCGAGCTGCTCCCTCACTGACCCCCCCAACTCATAGCCATGTTCTTGTTCTTGGCTGCTGAAGAGGACCAAGCCACATTCAAATGCAAGGGGTCCAGAGGGACCCCTATATAGGAGCTCTCGGCCCATGTTAGACGTCAGACATAAAAGTGTGTGCTTCTACCCAGATGCTAAGCCAGTGAGATACGAAGTGACCTCTTTCCTCACCATCCCCAATCAATATGAAGGGCATTGGGAGGTCCGATGTAAAGCATTTCAGTGCAGAGATATATTCCCGCTTAAAGCAGCTCCACCTGCCACTTAGTGCTATCATCAACATCTTTAAACTTTCTGAGATTCTGGTTTCTTAGGTTCTTTTAAAAGAGGGACAGTGTGAACCCACTGCAACACTGAGCACCAACAAGTACAGCTCATCATTCCAGGGGACAACTGATTATGTCCTTAATGGCACAATGAATCATAGGAATATTTGAAGTTACTACATGAACAATACAATACACACTGCAGGCTGCTCTCAGTGACTGTGAGGTCACAGCTTCCTGACTTGTGCCCCAGGCACGGGTAAAGGACTCAGACAAATCTGTGTCAGCCAGTGGCCACAGGGTTTTGCATCTTTGTTTATTAGCTTTAGGCTTACCTTCCATCAGTTCTGCTAGAAAAGGAATCGACTCTGGAAGCAGAACAATATAATTCTCTCTCAGCTTTTCAGCCACTGCTAAGACAGTAATCAAGGCTGCAAACCGCACCTGGAAGGAACAGGCATCAAGAATGAGACCGTTTCATCTGTTCCTTGCTGCTGTTCAATACCTTAAGACCTGACCTGACTGGAGACGGTGCTCTTTACATAGTGTCCATAAGGTAACACTTTAGTAGCCATTTGAGAGCTATTTAGAACAAGGGTAATCTACTTATCAGGGTCTTTCAAACTGTATTCTAGCATTAAAATGTGGGGGAAAAAATACTCTATTTCCTTTACCAAAAAAAAAAAAAAAAAAAAAAAAAAGCCAATACAAAGATGGCTCGGGGGGTAAAGATGCTTGCCACCAAGCCTGGTGCCTGAGTTCAATCCTTAGGTCCACATAAAGAGAGAACTGACTTTTGCAAGTTGGCCTCTGACCTCCATAAGTGCACGACAGCAAGTGCATGCCCACCCTTATAAAAGTAAAACAAAATATAAAAAAAGAAAAGAAAGAAAAAAGCAAGTCATACAATATATCTAGCCAGGAGGTAGTTTGTTGGGTTGCCTGAGATGGTACCACCTGGCGATGGAGTGCCTTGACATCTCTGACAGCATCTGTATGGCCAATACACCTACTTGGCTAGTCTCATTTCGGCACTGAATAAAAGTCTGGGTGTTCCTACATAACCTGCCGATCACGAGCAATCCAAGTAGCTATGAAGCATCGACAGCAGCCCGCAGAAACAAAATGGTCCCCTTTCAATTTGGAATAATTTTCATAATTCATTATATTTAATCAAGATTTTCCTAACATGTAATCAAAATAAAATACTAAAATAAATTTGTTTCTGCAACTATGTAAGAATCTATGATAGCTTTACTGTTTCCAACTCCTAAAAAATGTAATCAATTTAAAATAAATTTGACTAAAAGTCTGCTTTGGGCTGTTTACCCAAGTGAGATTCTCATGAGAAAGTGATTTATTAATAAAACTGCTAGAAAATTCCAGGTAAGGAATGTCAACGTACCCTGAGTCCATTTCTACTCTAAAGGAGTGTTCTGTGCACATACCACAATCACTGATCTCAGGGCATAGTGACGTTAAAAACAAGGACCGACTTCAAGTGGTTACTGTTTTAGATGAAGAGGAATTTAGAAATATTTTAATGCTTATGCTTGCCATGACTAGGAGGTTGAGAAATATAGCTATTTATAAAGAGCCTGCAAAAGAAATAAGGAATTCTCTATTGTATATGTGTGTATATGTATTTGTGTGTGGTGGATGCCACGTATACTTGTGTGCACATGCATTTGAAGGCCAGAGGCCAATTTTAAGTGTTGTTCCTCAGGTGCCACCACCTTGTTTTTCAGCACGTCTCTCATTCTTACATGGCACTCCCGGACACACATCATCATGCTGGCTTCTGATGTGTTCTGGAGATCAAACTTCAGTCCTGTGCTTGCACAGTAACAATGAGCACTCCATCAACTGAGACATCTCCCGGCCCAAGAATTCTTCATAAAGGCTAGCATTCTATATCATACAGTAGGCCAGACTTCTAGTGATGAGACCTAGGGCCAGGCTCTCCCTATCGGTGTCCTGGGGCTGGCATCCATGACTATAGGTGGATATTTAGGCCACACCCATGGGGGGATGCAACTTCAGCTTCAGAGACTGTGACCCCCAGACCTTACCTTAGGGGAGGAGTCTCTTGTCTTCAGCAGAATCTGGTAGTTGAGGGGCTTCCACATGGAGTCGTCTGCCATGGCCACAGAAAACTGTGCGATGCAGGGCACTAGATGCTGTGTCACCCGCTCTTGGAACCGCTCTTCTCCTCCAAGCCTGTTTTCCAGCTGGGAAGAGAGACATAGGTGTCACCTTGCTCCTGAGCACACCCCTCGTGTGTGTTCCCCCCACCCTAACCTTGTCTCTTCCCTCTGGAGCTCAAATAGCTACAAAACCCCTTTCCTGTGGGGGCAGGCATGCCCAGTGAGGCTCAGTTGACAGCCAACATACCTTTTCAATGGATAAACTGACAATGAGATTGATTGTATTTCAGGCCTTTTGAAAAATTCCCAGGTAAAACTCAACACCACAATGAAGACAAGTCATACCATGAAAAGTCCATTTTTGTATAATATTTTCATAAAGGATCCCTCCCCTAAAAATCACCTTTTAAAAAAAAGTCTTGAAAGCTACTATGTAGCACACCTAAAATGGCAAAGATCAATCCAGGCAGCCTCAGTGACTGAAAACCGTCCAGTGGGTTACCTGATCCACCAGGGGCATCATTAAGGCTTCTGCTCTCTCTTTACTCATGAAATTCTGGGTGTCGAAAAGGAAGATCTTGTACAAACAGCTCAAGATGAACTCCAACAACATGCAGCACTTTTCAGGGTCCTGCTCAGAGTCAAAAAACGCTTCATCTGCAGGAAAGAGCACAAGTGGGGACACTTCTCAGTTCCTGGTGTTATAGACATTGCCACAATAGAATGACTACAAACTGTAAACGGTAGAACCTGAACAGTGGGGCTCTCCTTCAGAGCAAAGACTGCAATGCTTAGCTGGGCAAGTTCAGTGACTTCAGCTAGCTATGAGCAGAGGAGAGACCAACTCAAATAGAGATGAGCCACGGTCTCTCACCTGTATCAGGAAGTAAGTACTCTACCATGACTTTCTCCAGCCTCACGCTTACTATTACAATAATGGTAATAATGCACACTTCATTCTTTCTCTGTGCCCACTGATTATTGTTTGTTCTAACATAACAGAAAATCACCATCCTTAGCAGGTAAGTCAAGGAACATGAAAATCTTTTCCGAGCTCCAGGTCTCATGCTAACTGCCTGTGTCAGACACATGGACAAGGCTGGTACTGGCCCAAAGGAGCTACCAACCTGTTTTGGAGATGTTTACTTGGTTCAAGGTGTCTGCAAAAGGTTTCACCAAGTGGCCAGCAAACAGAGTGAAAAGGCCTTTCAACTTCTCAGCAATGCAGTTGGCCAGATTGTAGAATGTCAGTAGTCTGTCCTTTGGGGCGTCTTCTGTCTTGGCCCAATCATACAGCTACAACCAGGAGAACAGTGATGTCATCTACTCATCCTGCCACTTACAACAAGCAGGAGATTGAGGGAAGAAAGCCTCACCTTGAAGAAGAGAGGCCTGAATGTGACCTCAGAGAGCTTCACCACCATGGCGACTAGACAGTCAATGATCCGAATTTCCGTTTTCCCAACTTCCTCTAGATTAGCCTGAAAATGAAGGAACTAATTAGACAGCGTGGACTAAATGCTTTGGCAAGGACACATGCTGCACGGCTAATTCTTACCGGGCTCTTGCACAGACAGGGAGATGACAGCTCTAGGGTATGGGGAGTGGGAATCAGCTCACCTCTGAGTGTTGTGCCCGGAAGTCCAGGGCATCCAGGAAGAAGGTGGTCAGCTGAGATTGGTGAGACAAGAGCTCTTCCTTCTTCATCACCGTGATGTGCTCTTGCAAGATGCTCATAAACGGGCCCATGTGATTCTACCATGAATGCAGCAGAGAATACAAGTTTATTTATTTTGTCTTAGAGCTCAGTGCATCCTCACACATTCAGTACCAGCTTCCCTCTCCAGAGTCCAACAGTCAATGTAACCTTACCTTCCAGTTCTTCTGGATCTGCTTGAAAGTCTTGCTAATGGCTGGCAGCAGGACTCGAGGTGAGAGCATAGTGGCGAGGGTCTTTTTAAGAGATGTCAGGCGGATGTTAGCCTGGGAGGCAGAACCCATTTCACTAGTGATTTTCTCTAGGTGAATCACCTGTAGGCACATGAAAAACAGTGACTGAGGGCACTGGACTTTGCTGATGACCACACTCACAGAAAGGCTTGGTGATGGCAAGCAGCCAGCTCAAATGGCAGAGCACAGAATTCTTTTTAAAGGAAACTGACTATCTTCAGATATAACTAAGTAGATGTTTCTCCTAACTGGAAGCCAGGGAAGGTGAGCAATAAGCCTATAAGCACAAAGGCCTCTTGGCCCGATGGTTTTCCTACAACTCATGTTCCTCCTCACTAAAAACAGTTGAGGATGATTCCAGCAGCCTAGCTCCCTTGCAAGACAACGACTTTGAGCCACAACCTGTAGTCAATGAATGTCAAGTCCCTAGCACAACGGCAGTCAAGACTTCAGCTTCACAAATGACAAGTGATCCCACAGCAGAACAGTAATAACCCTGTCAACAAGTGGTTGACACTCAAAGGTATTTTCAATCAAAAACGCCACTTGCCTACAGTGTGCTGACAGGCAACCACTCCACCTATCGTGGAGGAAGTCCACTATATGAAACACCTTACAGTTAAGAAAGCTTTCCCATCAAAACCAAAGCATACTGGTTTCCAAAAGTAACAGTAGGGCCGGGCGGTGGTGGCGTACGCCTTTAATCCCAGCACTTGGGAGGCAGAGGCAGACGGATCTCTGTGAGTTCAAGACCAGCCTGGTCTACAAGAGCTAGTTCCAGGACAGGCTCCAAAAAACCACAGAGAAACCCTGTCTCGAAAAACAAACAAACAAACAAACAAAAAGTAACAGTAGGCAACTCTACCTGCCCATTCTCAAAGATCTGAGGTAAATACATTCTGTACTACTGAGAAACGGAGCCACCCTACTCAAAAAGGGAGCCTTGCCTGTTAGCTCCATGATGAAGCAGAAGGGACAATGGCAGAAAAAAGGGATACACGTTCAACAGACAGAAACAAGAATCATGTCTGCCAAACGGTGGTGAATGAAGAGCCAGTAAAGGGACTGAAAGGGTAAAACTGTTTCCCTTGCCACCCTGGGTAGCAAATCATAGCTGACCAGAGCCTACCTGGATCAGAAGTCCTTCCAGGTAGGGGCTGATGAAGTGTGGGAGAGTCTCAACAACTTTGTGCAGGGCAGCCAGGGCGCTGAGCAGGCAGACTTCACTGTGGACCAACTCACTGGTGCTCTTCATGGCTGCTAGCAGCGATGGCATCAGACTGGCAAGAAGGAACAAGTGCATTAGAGCAGCTTTACAGCTCAGACACGCACTGAGAAGGGGATATGAAGAAAAGCCCTCGGCCAGCTGGGCTTGCTATAACCCTGTAACCTACAATGTACAGAATACTGCCTGCGCGTTTTACACCACTTGGTGCCAGCAGTGCTGACACACTGGTAACTATTACAGAATGTCCTCCAATGACGGAACACGTGCTAGGTGTTAAGACGGTGTGCAAAGCACGGCAGCCCTATGAAGAGAAACCCTGAGGTATGCAGAGAATGCCCCGTATTACACACGGCAGGGCTTTAAACAAGTAACTCGCCACAGCTGCACAGCTGGTTATGGTCAGAGCCAACAGCAGTCAAGAGCACCGAGCTTCCCTCTGTGGCAGCAAAAAGCTGCTCTGGTCATGTTTCTCAACAGGGAATTTCACCACTGTTCCCTAAGCACAGGATTCCACAAAGGAATTGCATCACCAAGCTACGTGTCTGAAGGTCACAGCAACAGTGCACTTCCCAGTGAGATCAATTTTTTCACAAGTCTATTTTCATGCACTTTTTATCTCTAGTCGAGAAGCCCAAAGGTCCGTGAGACATTCTCCCCTTTCTGCTGTAGCGGCTCCTGTTCCACGGTACCTGGGAAGCTGAGGGATGGCCAGTGCTTCCAAAGTGGAGGTCACCTCCGCTATGCACAGCAGGGCACTTCCCAGGACGTTTTTCTCCTCCTTTTTCTCTGGTGCTATCAGCTTTACTGCAGTGCTCAGAACGGGTATGAAAGGCTCTCGGTTCCGTGCTCCAAAGTTCTTGCATAGGAGCTTTAGGGTGTACAGCGCTGTCTGTCTGTTAATCGCTTGTTCATCTTCTGCCTCCTTTTTCTTATGCTGCACAATGTCTAGAAGGACTGGAACCAGCTTTAGAAAGCGGTGAACCTGAAGAGGCAGTCAAAATGACCAATAATCAGAGCTATAAGGAGGGCCAGTCTCCTTTCCCATCTTCCCTGCTTGGGTCTATCTGATATGATTCAAGTCCAGACTAAGTCCCAAGCCACACAACCACATTCAAGTGACTGTTCTTCCTTAGTCCCCAGTGGAGCAGTGTTAGCCAGGGCCTTGATCATGTTAAATGAGTGTTCTACCATGGAGCTACAATCCCAACCCTCTTACACCAGATCTCATTACCGATGGTTCTGAGCCACCACGTGGTTGTTGGGACTTGAACTCGGGATCTCTGGCAGAGCAGCCAGTGTTTATCTGTGGAGCCATCTCAGCATTCTCAGCCCTCTTTTTGCATTTGACTTTTGAGACAGGGTCTCACTAAGCTGCCCTGACTGACCTAGAACTCACTATAGAGTATGAACTTGAGAGCCTCTTATCTTGGGCTCCTAAGTGCTACCATTTCTAGTTCCAGCTACATTCCTTACAGCAAGCAGAAGTCCACTTTAACACACCTTCAGCTTGAGAATGAACAACACACGTCTGTCTCACATAAACACACACAGTATGCCAACCCAGAGAGCAATATCCTCCCAGTTTAAACGGTGTACCTGAGAAGACAGCTCTGCAATAAGCAGACGGAGGGATGTGGGTTTGGAAAAGGATCCTCACTCACCATTTTCTTCTTCCACAATGCGTTCTGCTGTAGCTTGTTATTCAAAAGATCCAGAGCTTTCCTACGAACAGATGGCAGGGGGTTGCCTACCAGCCCTCTGATGACATAGATGAATGTTTCTGTAGGCAACAAGGCATTGACCTATAGAGAAGGGAGCAATTAATACAAAAGAGAAAAGCAACTCTGTAATACAGAGTTTTTATCATTTTGACAGAAAGTATACCTATGTAGCCCAGGCTGGCCCTGAACTCGGATTTGAGCGCAGGGACTATATACATATACCACAAATCACAATGTCCAACTCACACTCTTGTTTATCGCAAGCCCCATGGTACCAGACATTTTATACAGAATTCTTACAAGAGCTCTCAGGTAGTTATTACTAATCACAAACAAAACTGAGAATCCAATACTAAAAGGAAGTAAACTACCCCAGGCCATGTCCTAACTTCAAGGGTAATCATTTATCTATTACATCTAACAGTGGGGCATTCTATTACCCCACTGCAATGAAGCAGAGCATCACACACACACGATAAACCCTTCATCAGATTTACTGAGGCACGTGTCTCGTGGGTAGGGAAACGCTTGCTTTCAGACAAGGAGCACTTGAGCTTCCTCGTATCAACAAAAGGTATCGCTCCAAGTGTATGGTTAAAGTGGAAGTTTAAGTCAAACGATCCTACAATGGCATAAAAACTGGTGACAATGACGAATAGGGAGAAAAGTGAAGCCAACCTTATCCAGCGTGTCGTAGGCTTTGCTGAGCAGGGCTCTCCAAAACTTCACAGTCTGTTTGTCTGCATTCTTTTCCACGGACTGAGCTACTGTGTTAATGTAGCCAAGGACTGTCTCCAGCAACCTACAACAGAGGCACACTCAGAAAAGGCAACCTGGGACCTCAGAATTCCTTCAGGAGGGAGGGGAGAGGCAGTATCCTCACTCTGCTTCTAGGTTATCTAGAGGATCACCAGTCCAGGGAATCTTCACTGTGGCTTGGAGCCAAGTATTTAGGGCAAAGAACATCTTCAGCGAAAATGAGAAAGGCAGGGGCAAAGTGGCAGTAAGATAGACTGCATATCTGTTACGCCCTTCCACTTTCTCTGCAAGTTTGAGTTATTCCCCAAAAAGGAAAAAAAGAAAAACATACCTCTGTTCCAGGCCATGCAGGATCTTAGGACCACCACTTTCAACTACCTACGAATGGAAGAAGCTCATGAGAACAGCATGGATGCTGACGATGGCATCACTTGATACAGGTTACACAAACAAATTGTTCCCATCATCCCGCCCCTGGAACTGTTCTCATATGACAGGCTGAGTAGGTTCAGATGACCCTTACGGGCTGCAGCTGATGACTGGGTTTGCCTATCTGTAAAGCACAGCAAGATTCAGAAAAACACAGCAGCACGCAACGCTTCTCTTATGGAAGTGACCCTGTGAGCTCATACACTTAGGGTAACTGCTTCCTGGTCCACTCTTCCTGTATCCCAGACCATCAGACAGCCTGAATCTGCCATTAAGTTTTTAGACAGTTGTTGGGTAATGGCAGCACACACTTTCAATTCTAGCACTCCGTAGGCCAGCCTGGCCTACAGCAGTTTCCTGGACAGCCAGAGCTATACAGAGAAACCCTGTCTCAACAAAACAAATAAATTGAAGACCCCCCCCGCCCCTGGCAAACCCCAAACCAACCAAACCCAAAGTTTCTAAACTGCATATACATTAGATTATTAAGAGCCGTGTATGAAAGTCTATCTTGCTCTAGTTCCTTTAGTCTGGTGACATATCGTTCCTCTGTAGATACATTTAACCACTTCCCTATATTGCTAGATAATTTATGTTTTTTTTTCCTCTCATAGATTGAATACCACCCCTTACCTAAAATGCTTAAGATGAGACCTGCTTCAATTTCAGATTTTTTTTAATTTTGGAAACTTGCATACAAATGATAGTAAGGATGGGACACATGTCTAAACATGAAATTACCTTATTGTCTGAAGGTAATTTATGCTGTGATTCTCCTGTGCTTCTGTTTGGATGTTGACCTGACACAGGAAGTCAGGTGTACAATTTTCCACTTATGGTGTCAAGTAAGTGGTTTCGAAAGTTTTGAATTTTTTTTTTTTTTTTGGTTTTTTGAGACAGGGTTTGAAAGTTTTGAATTTTGAAGCATTTCTGCCAAGTTCAGATCAGGGGTGTCCTCCTGTACTAGTGAAGCTTGAGGACGGTTATAAGTCTCGTAAGCAACTAGGCAGGCTTTACTCCCCTCTGACCCCACTGCAATCCGCCAAATGCTTTCTGAGTGGCTGCCTTCACTCACACACACTCCTCACGTGCACATCCTTGTTGTGGGAGCTGCAGGTTGCCAGCTCCTGCCACCGGTTAGCTTTACTCGAAATAACAACACACAAACTGTATTCATTTAAACATTGCTTGGCCCATTAGCTCTAGCCCTTACTGGCTAATTCTGATATCCCCATCAACCCTTCTCTAATAAACTGTGTAGAAGCTGTCTTACAGGGAAAGATTCAGCATGTCTGACCTGGCGGCTTGCTTTATCGTGTCTGGCTCTGAGAGGAGCTGCATGATTTCTGAGCTCACTTCCTCTTCCTCCCAGCATTCTGTTCTGTTTACTCCGCCTACCTAAATTTTAACCTATCAGGGCCAAGGCAGTTTCTTTATTTAACCAATGACCTTCCTCCACCACGTCCTCCTGAAGTGGCTGTCTGCGCTCACAGACAACACCCACCTGTACATCTTGTCTTGTAACCTTGTATCTCTCGGTATGAACAGCTTTGCCATTTCTGCCACTTTGAGGGGCAGCTTCTCACTTATTCCACATTTCTTGATTTGCTCACTAGGGCACTTGAGTTGTACCAAGTATTAACTAGCCACTTATGGTTCCTCTTCATCAAAACTCTAATCTCTGTCAGTGTTGTAATAGAAACATGATTTTACCCACAAAATGCAGTAATCTAAGTCTACAGCTTTCTACTTTGCCTATGGTGGCATTGCGGTGAATCAAAGCTTGAAAGAAAAATTATTTCTCCTTCGATCACAATGTTGTTCTCCTTGATTTTCTTTTAAGAGTTCTAGGTGTTGCTTTTCACATCAAAGTTCTTACTATACCTAAAATTATCTGATGTACATGGTGTGAAAGCAGACTCACCTTCCCCCATAAATAGAAACAAACCATGCCAGCGTTAATACTTGAACAGCTCTTTCTTGGTGGACTTGTAAACCTTCTGCACTCTTCCTATCCACCTCCACCTAGATCTGTTTCTCCTCTTGGCCATCAGTCACAGTGACTCATCTGATTACTCTTTCTCTAACATTTTGCTTAACCCGCTGCTTATCAATATCATATTTTAAAGTTAACTGGGGAAGTGCAGTAAACTTATATGTTAATCTAGAGAGAACTAAACTCTTTGAACAGTGGGTTTTTAAAAAAATCTAGTGTGTGTGTGTGACTGTGCTCTCGTGTATGCTACAGTGCACTGTGGAGGTCAGAGGACAGCTTGCAGGAGTGGGTTCTCTATTCCTGCTATATGGGTTCCTAGGATCAAATTCAGGTCATCAAGCTTGGCAGCAAGCATCTACCTGCTGATCCTTCTAGCCAGCTCAACAGTATGCTATATCTTCATATGCATGAACACTGTCTCTGTTGGTATTCAAGTATTCTTTTGTGCCCTTTAAGATCTTGGAAATTAGCTGGGTGGTGGTGGCTCATGCCTTTAGTCCCAGTACTTGGGAGGCAAAGGCAGGTAGATCTCTGAATTCCAGGTGAGCCTGGTCTATAAAGCAAGTTCTAGGACAGCCAAGGCTATACTGAGAAACCCTATCTCAAAGAGAAAAAAAAAAACCCTGGAAATTCTTTCAGAATATTCTTGGCAACATTTCTTTAGGCTGAATTTTCAGTACCTTATTTATGTTGTGTTGTTTATGAAGTTTTCCCCTACAATTTAAATACAATAGTAGCATTCTATAGAGGTGAGATAGCTGGTTTTCTTGTGGAGATAACCCTACCACACCAAGTCTATTAGGAAGTCACAGAGCTCAGGGATAGGTCTAAGAGACTGCTGATACTTTTTCCTGATTCTCATGCTCCACTTCTTTTCTTGCACAGAAGGGACACCAGAAGGCACCTTAGCTCCTGATTTTTGGAGAGGCACCAACACTTTCTCCATGACCATGTTATAAACCATAGTTTCCTTTCTCAAAGGGTTATCAGATGGCCGTGCTGTTCATTATCTTTCCTCAGAACCAGGAGGTTTATGTACTGGGCTGGCAGACCCTTGGTTGTTAGCAGTCTGGGGCTGGCATGAATAATGCTATCCCCACTTGCCTGGGAAGGCCTGTTGCTGTGCATCCTCACATGCTTCTGCTGAGCCTATGCTGCCTGAGAATGAAGTCACTGGGTCTCAACTCTGGTGAGTAATGTCCAGCAGGTCTGCATGGAGAAGCTTACTGTTTCCCCATTATCTTTCTTGGCATGCCTCATATTTTCATAAGACATTTGCCAAGCTTTTTTTTGCAAGTCTAAAACATCATTCTTTGACAAAAGCAAGATCACTTTTTAGCATAAACTCACTTAAAGTACACATCACCTTTTTAAGGAAATGATTAGAAGCCAGGAGTTGGGCCATGAAGGACACTGACAAATATTTAAAATGCCGAAGTTGCTTGCTTGTGTGCGTGTCCACCTTAAAGACTGGTAGCATTTCGTCTTGTACTTCACTCTTAGTAGACATTGTCTTGGGGTTGGCTTCTGAAAAACAGCAACAACACAGACAACTTTACTCATCTTCAACGCTAATTTGTCCACTGGGCTTTCAGATGTGGCACGGGGAGCGGGATGCCATCTCAGAGGGAACTGTGCTCAGATAGGACACCAAACTCCTCTGCCAGGGCAGTGAGCAATGGGCGCACATTCACTGAGGAAGCAGCCACCCCACAGGCCTGAGAAGTGTGGGTCAGTAAGAGCAGAAAATACAACACAATAGGAAAGTGGAGACATCAGACACTCCAGCTCTGGATGAGTTCCTGAGAGCTGAAGCCACGTCCATGTGAAACACTGGCCTAAAAGCTGAAGCTGTGTATCTCAGAACTTCTAAAGAGCTGCTATGGTGTTAGAGGTAGGGTGCGGCCAGGTCTTTGGTAGGCCACTTAAAGCCCACAGTTCTTGATCTGTGGATACACTAGGTTCCAAGGACTGCCTCATTCTTTCTGCTCCTCCTCAGCTCTCAGATTAGATGGTAGACAACACCTGAGCCATGCTTACCTTCTTTTTCCTCTGGCAGCTTTTCCAGATACTGGAGGATAAGCATCAAGCTCTGGACCTGATGCTGGACACTGAATTCACAACAGACGGAAATCCAGAACTCAGTATCTGCCTCTAAAATAGCATCCTGTTTAGAAAGAAAAGGAAAAGGTCAATAACTGCCTAACAAGTACATCAGTAAACATACACTAGGGACACACCCAGAACACATCCTTCAGCAGTTTGTCACCAGATGAAAGGTGTAAATCCCTTCAGCTATTCAAAGAACTGCACAGGAGCCCAGAACCATGGGTGAGGCTCCAGACCTGTTTCTTAGAAACAGTCAAGGGCTCTTAGAAGATGTTAGTTCAAAGATGTTCTGGGTCTACATATTCTGAACGCTTAAGAGAAACCAGGAACTGTCCTGAAGAAGCCTCTGGGCTAGCACTGTCAAATGATGCACATTAAGATGAACAATCTCCCAAAGCCCACGTGACATCACCCATTCCCCTTTACCAGCCCACCCAATATTCTGACCTTTTCTCCATAAGCAGCCACCAGCACTGTTTTGGTGACATACTGTTCAAAAAGCAGGACGAGGAGAATCCACAGGAATTTTTCTGCGCCTAGCGTGTCAACAAGCTGAACAAGGATGGGCAGGCGCCTGTGCTCTGGCACGTGTGGAAGAGCATCCACAAACACACCGATGATTTTCACTACAATCTCTTCAACATTTCTAGTGACTTCTATAGAGTCCCCAGTATCAGACTGCAAAAAATCAAGCAGGGAACTGAGTAAGCACCTTTTTCCAAAACCAGCTTGCAGAGGGACTAGACCAATCAATGAAAATTCAGTGAGTGTCTGTCTTATCTCAGGTCCTACTTGGCTCTGAGGGAAATATAGCATAAGGTACTGGCTTTGCCTCCCTGGAGTTATCTGTACAAAACAAGATGTGCACACACAAGCACAACAGAAGGCAGGAAACACTGCACAGGCATCCTCACATGGGCAGAATCTAAGTAGGCCCAGCACAGAAAAGCCAACAGCTCCCCACTGCTTTCAGAGCCACGTTCAACTCATTTTACTCTGGTACCCACAACCAAAACAAAGTGACTGAGTGAGAGGCTGAATCAAAGAACTGAAAGACTAAGCCCCAATGCCATCTAATTCTACCAACAAGTCCCTGCCAACTGGCATTGTCCCTCTTCACACACACAGTGTACGTGCTCTTTCCCATACTTCAGATGGCGCTGCCATATTTCTGTATAAACTGTGCCCTCCCTTTCATTGGTTCAAATCCTATTTCTTACTAATTTTTCTGGTTATCTCAGACTATGTAGACATTTTCTTACTCTCAACCCTTTATCAAACAATGTACATATACACACAGAAACACACAATAGGCATACACCCTCCGGATACCAAGGTATTGAACACAGAGGAAACACCAACTAACACTGAGAATTAAAAGGAGACAGTGTGAAGTCAAAAGCATTACAAATGATATTAAAAAGTGGGGGTAAGAGATAACCCCACCCTTTTTTGCTTGAAGCTACTTTTCATCTCCTATATTTGTTTCCCACCGGTAAAGACAATATTCTCTGAGTCTTGGCTCTCAGACCATGTTTAGAAAAACCTGTATTAAATTGAATGCTAATAAGTTTGACAATGTAGCTGTAAAAGTTCCTTTCTCTTATTTTTTTCTTTACTGTATTCTTGATCTAAAAAGCTCATTATCAAAGCACGAAACAGTCAATATAAAGTTACTCAACATGATGTCAAAATGCTTTCATGGCTACACTACTGTCACTCAGTGGAACCAGATTTAACATATTTGAAGGTAGGACCAGAAGATGTTAATTTGTAAGCCCATTTGCTGGCTTCACCATTATAAAATTCAGGACACAGAAGAATCAGAATATTTCCAGACTGGCATTTACACAAAATTTTAAAAATTATAAAAATGAAAGAGTAAAACAATGATGGCAGCACCCAAACAGCTTACCTGGATAAGTGCTGGAATGACCATTTTCACTGTCTTGCTAATAACTTGAAAACTATAAGCATCATCTAGGCGCATGACATTGGCTCCCATGAATGTAAAAATAGACATGATATTATGAAGAACTTTATCCTGAAATAAAGCACAATTTTCACCATTTTTCTATTTTAAATACCAAAGATTTATTTTTTTTTAAAAAAATCACCAATAAAAATAGCGCTATCTTCCCTCAGAAACAGGCAAGCGGCTGGGGCTAGGGTTATAGCTCAACAGCAGAGTGTCTGCTTAGTACGCTCAAGGACTGAGGTTAATGCTCTACACCACCAGAAATAAAAACAAACAAAAATGGGCAGAGCTTAAGTTTCCAAATATAAATGGTCAAAGTAGACAGACAGCAGGGAAAGCAGATGAACAAGAGACTGTGATATTAGATCGACAAAACCCACTCTGCATCCATTACTGTGGCTAGGAGTTTTACAAGGACGGCTGTCACGTCTTCATGAGGTAGATGATAATCAAACTTGGGTTTTGTCTTGTCTGTTTAGAATCTTCTGGGGATTGGCAGGCTAATCTTCCTGGATAGTTACTATGTCTGTGTCGGCACCGTATGAAGAACTAACCACATACCACAGCTGAAGCTTCACCACATCCCAGGGAGAAAAGTTACCATCATTCTACTTTACTTTACTAACTGAACCTGCTGCTTCCTCTTTTTTTGGCTACACTGGGAACCAAACCCAGGGTCTTACATCTGCCAGACAAAAACTCCATTGAGCCTTGCCTAATGAATTTAAGTCAGTACACACCAATGCATTTCCATGGAAGAAAAGACCTGAAACAGCCACTCAAGTCTTAACCCTTCCACTTACCGGAAATATCCCAGCAACAGTACCCAGGAGCAGCAGGGCCTGGTGGTGAGTCTGCGGCATCTCCGACAGGCGGATACACTGCACTATCAACTCTACATTGAACTTCTCCTCATCTACAATGTCTACAGTGGAGGGAAAGGAAAAGGTCTGTGGCTGATACATTCATGTGCAAAGCAGATAGTTTTTCTGCCCTTCTCTTCTGCCAAACACATACCTTTAGGTATTCTGCCACCGTCTGGGGAGAGTTTTTGGCAGATGTTGAGCAAACAACTCAGAATTAATTGTTTAGTGTATTCCATGTTTCCCTGTTCCGATGACAAAGGTTCTAAACACCTTGGGGAACCACAGAAGAAAAACAATTGGGAATGTAAAAGTTAATCCAGTCACATTAGTGACCACTGTCCAGAATTTATTCAATAAGGAATAAAGAAAAGCCTATCATTTAACAGTCTAATATGCAAGGTTTTAAACTCTAGTTTTTCCTCATATAACCAAGTACAGATCAGATGATTTCTCCTCTCTATGTACTTTCTTTTCACTAACCTGCTAACAATCTTCCAACAAATGTGGAGAATTATTTTACTTTTTAAATGACAGCACACTCCTCAACTCAATGGCAAACCTCTACAGCTGTGCTTTCTAATAATTTACAATTAAACTATAGCAGGTGTTATATAGCATCCTCAAAATACAAGTGAGGCGGCCCAGATATGGCACTGGAAGTTAAGTAGGAAAGCAGGCAGATGAGGCCAACCACCGCACAACATAGGAGGCCAGCTATGGAAATCGTAACGGTAACTAAAACCATTCTTCAGTATTTCAACTACAGTACAACTTCCTTTAATGGACAGACAGTCAAAATAAGAAGAGTATTCCAAAAGAGAGAGATAAATCAACGCGGCAAAATTTCTACCACTCTATTATCTCACAGACCAAAGCCAAGCCCTTACCTCGACAGCAAGTTAAAGAGAGTTGGAATCAGTATCTGAGGGCTTTTGAGCTTCTTTTTGTGCTGCAGTAACTCCAGGATGAGGGTGACTCTCTGCCAGTAAGGGCCCTCAACTTCTTGGACAAATTCTACATCTTGTGATTTTCTGGACAACAGAGGAGAAAAAGACTGAAAATGCAAACACCATTATGTGTGTTTATGTAAAATGGGTGGGTTTCTAGAAGTCATGATTAGAGCAGCCAGAGCCTAAGGAACAGGAACAGGGCCCCTGGTGTGTCAGAGCGCTTACTTCTGCTGCATTTTCTGCCTTCTTGTTTGCTGAATTGTGCCCAAAGATTTGGCTTTATCTCGCGGCTCCAGTTCTATTCTGACTTGTTCAGCATCAACAGAAATCTGAAATATTGAAAGAATGCCTAGTGATATAATTCACTGGGACAAGATTACAGCAATAGTTGTAATTAAATTATCAACTTCAAAATAAGATCAAAACATTACTGCAATGAACAGGACTACAGGTTGATGAAAGCATCTCAGTCCGCTTTTATGTCATTATGCCACGTGAGGCCTGCCCAGCCCCCAATACAGACACTACTAATGGCCTCTTATGCATTATTTAAGGTGAAAACTCAAATACTCAGTTGAATAGATTACTCTGGTATCTTGGAATCTACTCATCTCAGTATATGCTTATTTCATCATATGCTGCTATGGACTCATTGTCACTAAGTACAAAAGATTGTTCTGATAATCACACTTGCCTTACAGCCAAGGCTGAGCTTATATTAAGCTGATACGGTATGCTTGAAAATATGTCTTCTTTGGTTTGTCTGCTTTTGGATTTTTGAAGATAGGGTCTCAGTATGGAGCCTAGGCTGGCCATGAACTTGTAATCCCCCTACCTCACTCTTCCAAGTAGGATTAAGGGTGCATCAATCTCTGGCTTGCAAATATTTCAAGTGCACAATAGTCTACTGTGGAAGATGAAGTAATGAGAGTAAAAAGCACCCTTTCACAACTTTTGAATTATCTTATCATGGCCTCAATGGCTGTGTTTCAATTGAAAAGGATCTACTTATCATTATATTATATTTAAAGTCTGCTGAAATGCTATCTCTATGATCCTAATTATCCCCATTTCTTTAAAATAAAAACGAGAAGCAGAGGTGGTCCCATGAAAAGGGTTTCTTTAACTGAAGGGCCAGAATGGCACCCTAGCTCTGCAAGCCTCCTACCCTCCCACTGTCTGATGTAACCTCAAGAAAAAGCAGAGGGAGGATGGTTCCAACCAAAGCTAGCCCACACTCGCCAGCACGAATCTAACTTGGAGGTTCACTTTAGCTGAGCCCTCTTGCCAGCACACACTTGTTTTCTACGGGGTCCTGGATCTCTGTTACAGGCATCTCACAATTTCACGTTCGTCCCTCTGTGGAAAACACCCTGCCTCTACATGCCAAAACAGATATTACTCACTAACTGGAAAGAATAACAGATTCTCACTCAAAGAGACTATTTAGATATGGGGTAGAAACAAGAAATCTTTTTTTCCCCCCCAAAAGTTCTGACCACCACAAGTAAATATTTAGACCCAATTCAAAGAAAAAAAAACTGTCAAAAGTATTTGTGAGATATTCATTAAAATATGACTATGGACTGAGTAATAAATGATGTCAAGGAACTCTGGCATTTTTTTTTTTTTCAAGTATGGTGCAGTTGTTGTGAGAAAATGGCCTTTTTTGGTTTTTCGAGACAGGGTTTCTCTCTAGCTTTGGAGCCTGTCCCGGAACTAGCTCTTGTAGACCAGGCTGGCCCTGAACTCACAAAGATCCACCTACCTCTGCTTCCTGAGTGCTGGGATAAAAGGCATGCACCACTACCACCCGGCAAGAAAATGCCCGTTTTTAAAAGGTGAAAACTGACATGCATAGGGATGGAAATTAAATGTTCTAGACTTACTTTAAAATACTTCCGCAAAAAAAAGAAAAAAGAAAAAAAAGAAAAATCTGTTAAAGATTTGAGAACTAAATCTGGAGATTATAATTTCACTATTTTTTAAATTAACTATTTTATGTGTATGGGTGTTTGCCTGCATATACATCTGTGTACGACCTATACGCTTGGTATTTGTGCAAGCAGGAAGAGGATGTCAGATGCCCTGGAACCAGAGTTATAAACCATTGTAAGCAGCAATGTTGGTTCTGGGAATCCAACCCAGGTCTTCTGGAAGAGCAAGTGCTCTTAATTATGGAAGCCATCTCTCCAGCTCTGAATTTCATTAACCTTATTGTTGCATGCATTCTGTAACTGTGGAATGTGTGTGTGTGTGTGTGTGTGTGTGTGTGCGCAAGTGGTGAGCCAACATACACACCAAAAGTCTTCCTTGAGGGGGCTGGAGAGATGGCTCAGAGGGTAAGAGCACTGACTGCTCTTCCAGAGGTCCTGAGTTCAATTCCCAGCAACCACATGATGGCTTATAGCCACCTATAATGAGGTCTGGTGCCCTCTGCTGGCATGCAAACGAACATGGAAGGAATGTTGTATACATAATAAATAAATAAATCTTTAAAAAAAAAAAAAGTCTTCCTTGAGTGCTCTTCACCTTATTTGAGGTGTCGCTCACCTGAACCCAGAGCTCAGCCACAGAGCTAGTATACCTGGCCAGCTTGCTCTCAAGATCCTGTTTTTGTTTCTCTCTCTCTCTCTCTCTCTCTCTGTCTGTCTGTCTTTTTTTTTTTTTGGAATCAGGATTTCTCTGTGTTGCTTTGGAGCCAGTCCTGGAACTCACTCTTGTAGACCAGGTTGGCCTCGAACTCACAGAGATCCGCCTGCCTCTGCTTCCTGAGTGCTGGGATTACAGGTGTGCCCCACCACCACCAGGCCTGTCTGGGATTACAGGTGTGCCCCACCACCACCAGGCCTGTCTGGGATTACAGGTGTGCCCCACCACCACCAGGCCTGTCTGGGATTACAGGTGTGCCCCACTACCACCAGGCCTGTCTGGGATTACAGGTGTGCCCCACTACCACCAGGCCTGTCTTTGTCTTTTAACCGCAAGAACTACAGATGGGCTACAATGCACAGCAGAATTTATGCAGGACACAAACTCCATTTCTCACACTCATATGGCAATCACTTTATTCACTGCCCCTGCCATTCTCTATTTCAGTCAATTCAGGAAATGGAATAATCCACCCCAATGTAGCTAGGTTTCAATATACATAAAAAAGTAACAAGCAGTTTCAATTCCATCTTATACATTACGTATCTATTTAAGTAAAATAAGGTCACCTTGCTCAACATCAAGCCCCTCATAATTCCCTATTCTTCATGAAAAAGGCAGCCATACCTACTGAGTAAGAACCAAAACAAGGTAACCATATGCCCTAACTTACTAAAAATATATACTTCATATAACAATAATTAAAAAAAAAGGTGAATAGCCTCGCCCTACTTTGTCCTGTTTCCTGCACTTGGATGGTAACATGTGGTCTCTCAGCTTGCTGCTGTATCTGCCTATCACCGTGCCTCCCTCACCATTATGGACCTTTAGAACCATCTGTGCTGCGCTCAGTCTTGCTCAAAGAAGCTTCCTATACAGAGGGCAGTAGTTTTTGCAAAAGACCCCTAGCCATTCAATAGACTGAAAGTAAATGACTGTGAATGTCAGCCACAGATGGGACGTCTGTACTGACTGCCTGTACCAAACAAGGCTCGAGGAACTTGGAGTAGTGGGCAGAAATCATCTAAGACTGGAAAGACGGAGAATGCTGTGAAATGCTGGACTCCCATGCGAACTCACAGCAGCTGTGCTTACCTGCACGCCTTTAATCGCAGCACTCTGGACTCTATATGAGTTCGAGGCCAGCCTGGTCTACAGAGTGAGTTCCAAGACAGTCAAGGCTACATAAAAGAAACCCTGTCTCAAAAACTGGAAAAAATAAATTTTTAAAGCATGAATGGGAAGGGGCTCCTGAGGTTCCATGCCTAGCTGAGGAGCCACGACAGCTGATGGCTTCTGAGAGGGGGTGCCACTGGCAGGCTGCCTGTGCCCCACACCCATTTACATGGTGACAGAACTGATCAGAATCAGTGGACTGTTTCTTTTTTAAAAAGGGCTTGAAGTTGGAAAAAAGATATATTGCTAGGGGCACAGGGGGAGGCAAAAGAAGTATGGTGTGGCTATGATTAAGATGCACTGTATGAAAAATTTAAAGAATTCAAAAACAAAAATAAATAGCAAAGACGTAAGATGTGGGGTTTGTACCTCTTGAGCACATACTTTCCTATGAGTATTGTTAATGGTGAAATCTGACTCCAAAGGAACACTGTAAAATGCAGGGTAGTTATATGTTTTGTTAATTGGAAAAGACTAAACGTTTACAAATCACAGTTTGCGACTTACCCCTTTGAAAACACTGCCAACCGTCTGAACACAATGGGAGTTTTTACAGTTCACCAGTAAGTCAAACAGCACACACAGAAGCTTCTGCTGCACCTTCCCGTCTAACAGAGCTGCAAAGAAGGGCTTTGTAATCTAGGAGCAGGAAAAAGCAAACAAACCCACGAGTCAGTAAACAGCCTCAGCTAAAGATTTCTCCTCATGGTGTGTGTAATCCACGCATGTGCACCAGTCTGAGAAGAACTTCTGGGACTCAGTTCGCTTTCACCTTCACTTCAGTCTCACTTTTATTTTTTTATTTTTTTTTGGTTTTTCGAGACAGGGTTTCTCTGTAGCTTTGGAGCCTGTCCCGGAACTAGCTCTTGTAGACCAGGCAGGTCTCAAACTCACAGAGATCCGCCTGCCTCTGCCTCTGCTGGGATTAAAGGCGTGCGCCACCACCGCCCGGCTCAGTTTCACTTTTAAACTCAGGTTGTTGGGTTTGCATGGCAAGCTCCTTTACCTGCAGAGCCCTCTCACCAGCTTTTAAAAGCAAGTATTTTTAATGTTCTGCATGTAACTTTTGTACAGTAGGTAAACTGTATCTCGTGCTTTTAAAAGTGTGTTCAAACCATTAAAAATTTACAACTCAGTACATGCATGATCGAGTTGAGTTTCTGAAGGAAGCCACTGACCTTTTCAAGAGCAGTAATCTGAACGGTTGGCATTCCTGGGTGAAGCTCCTTCGTTGTGTGCACAGCCTTTATAAACAGGTCTAGACTCTTTGGGTCTCTATATAAAAGTGGAGCTGAACACTCATTGTATTTTCCCAGAGTGAGATGCAAAACAATGGCCTCATCTTTCAGGACAGCTGTGGGCTCCTTCTCCACCTTCTCTAGGAGTCGCTCCACCATAGGCAGCAGCTGGGCCAGCACCGTCTAAAGACAGAGAAGGTTAGAAGTAGTAACCGAGGCTCTTGTTCTGCTCAGGTGTGCTCTCACAGCTCAGCTACAGCTCTTTACATTCTTTACAGGAGTGAACACATTCTAAGAACAGAAACTATAAACTAAAATATGAGCACAGCAATAGTTAGCATTTGCTAAAGTACTGCAGTTCCCTCAATTTGGTATGATTAGTATTGATTCAAATGAGGCATGTAAAGGCAATAGTTAAACCAGAAAGTCATGGCTCTTCTGACAAATCCAGTGATGTCCTGACTTTTAAACTTGTTCATTGACAACAGCCACAATCATCTGATTACATACCCTGTGTCTGCTCTCCTCACAGAGGCAGATCTGAGCAACTGCAAAGAAAGATGGTCCAGAGCCCGGGAGTTGTTTCTTGATATCTGCATAGCACTGCCCATAAGCCACTCCTCAGACAAAACCCTGGATACACAAGCCCCTCGTATAACACGGCATAATTGCTTATATAATTTAGTCTCAGTTTTCTAAAAAACTTTTAGACACCTCTAGGTTAATCATAATAAATACTGCTGTATTTTTGTTTGTTTGTTTGTTTGTTTTTGAAATAAGGACAAGAAAAAAGCCTGCTTATTTGCTATGGACATAACTTTTCTCCCAACACTTCGATTCTGAGCCTGGCTGAACTAGAAGATTTGAACCTCATAGACAGGAGTTGGATCATATTCACTGTCTACTGCTTTACAGAAGAAATTTGTCAGCCTGTTAACACCAGGGACAACTCAGGGCTGATAACTGGGAAAAAGAAAAAAAAAAATCAAATAATTTTTATTCTATTTTACCCTCTTTAATTCTCTGGATTTGCAGTCGGTCAAGAGCAATGGAAGCATGGGCATTCAAGGTGTGGAAAGAAGGAAGTTAAAGCCCTGTTGGTCAGAGCAGACATTTCCTTCACATCACAGGCTTCCCTGAGCACATAGCGAAGGCTGTGCTTTTCCCTCCAAAAATTACGTGAACCCGTGTATTTTGTAAATGAGAGAAAGAAAAAAAATCCAGTTTTAGAGACTCTAAACATATTCCTTTGTAGAGGATTTCTCCTTAAAAAATGAACACAAGTTAAAACCTATTCTGAGATTAAGTTGCTGAGATTACATACTGAATTTAAAAATGAATGAGCACTCGTGTGTGCTTTTTGAATCCTGAATCCTTCTTCCCTCCATAATTCTTCCGCCCATGTGGTGAAGAACTTCTCACCCGAGAGCACACAGTTGCTTCCTCATCCTGGCAGCTACTTCTCAGGAAAGTCATGGATATATAATCCACTGCACTCTGTGCAAATCACTCATACCTCACTGTTCACATCTTGAAATACTTTCATCAAGTCTTTTGCGATGTACGACGGGCAGTCATAAATGCCGTGAAGAAGGCTTCTCAGGGTCTCAGACAACTTCTGATGTGATTTCTGTTTCTCCTCTCTCTGTAGTTCATCAAATAACGTAGCCAAATCCTAGGTACCAGAAAGACAGAAAACTGTCTTCAAAAGGGGAAAGGAACTTTAAGGACTAAATGTCTTAACTATGGAAGTCTTTTCTAATGACAGGACACTGCTTACATCTTTTAATCTCTCTTCAAATAAAGTACCAACTGGAAAGGGTTTCAGTATCCAACAGCTGTGAACACTGTGAAGACTGAACATTAGTCTTTCATGCAAGAAAAGGACAACACAATTGAAACACAACATGTGACCTTTTAAAAAATAGCAAAAAGACTGAAGTTGCTGACACAAATCTTTAAATTAGTGGATAAATCCACCCAAATCCCTACAAGGTACAGGAAGGGAGCAAACTGCTCCTGTTCCATGGGCTCTCCATCTCAACCGTCTTTGACAGTAGTCTACCTGGACCACATAGGTAGCATCTGAAGTGATCTCCTCTGCCTTAGGAACCAGGTGCTCTATCACCAGCTGAAACTTCGAGGCTACTCCACTGAGGGCCTGGAGACACTGAACAGCAGCTCTGCGCACTTCTTTTACAGGGTTTCCCAGACTGAGGAGCAGAGACAGCACCACTAAATGAAATGGGAAAGAAGCTAGTGTCAAAGGTTCAGGGTGACAGGTTTCCTTCTGGAGCACAGCTCCCTTGCATAGCACACATCTGGCCTGTAAGACACCTGGTTAACATCCCTGGCACTACCCCATCCTGGCCATCACACACATACAAGGTTCCCTCTCAGACATCTCTCCTCTGAAGACTGTTCACTGCCTAATTATTTCAGAAAAATGGCCATGTTTTCTCAAAACATGCAATTTGTCAACTGTCCTCTCACCTTAAGGTTATGTTCCGATAGGCACACGTGTATCTAAAGTGTGTTTTTACTCTTAAGCTGTCAAGTGCTAGTGAAGGTCAGGATTTCAGAACAACGCTGCAACAGCCTCCAAATCCACTCCTGCTTTAGGAGCAGCAGGAAGTTACCATTGACTTTTACTATGGGTGCTTTGAAAATATTTAAATTACTGCTGATTGGTGCAGGTTGTTGCTTTCATACAGTCCAGGCTAGCCTGAAACTTCAGATCCCTCTTCCTCCACTTCATAAGTGCTGGGATTACAGTCATTAGCCAATCAAAGCTGGCTCCCTGATACTTGACTTCATTTTTAGTGCAGAAATCTTACAATCTCTATTTTTTTTTTCCTTCTAGGGTGATTGTTTGGTTGGCTGGGTTTTTATTGTTACTGTTTCCTTTTCTGAGATAAGGTTGAAATATAACCCATATATCCCAGATTTGTCTATAAAAGCTTTTCTACTTTTATCTTTGGCTCACAAAGGTACTGCCCACCCTGAAAACTCAATTCAAAAAGTATCAAGCTCTGTATTTAGAGATCATATGCATCTGTCTTCTTCCAATACCAGTTAAATTTTATGTTACACCTTCATTTTAGGTGGAGAGTGACGCTCTTCAGTCCTGCTGTTTGTAGAGAGAGGTATACGTTAAGGAGGGCTGCCCATTGCCTCTGACACAAAGGAAGGAAAATATCCAATGCCAAACAGGAAACTTTAAATACTGATTTCTAGACAAAGTACATATGCCTTCTCTGTGTAGAGACCAGTGTATAGACCACACTGGCCTTGAATTCAGAGATCTATCTACTCCATCTGCCTCTGCCCCCTCAGTGCTAGGATTAAAGGCATGTGCCACCACACCCATTTCTGTTTTTAACTTCTTATTACATTTTGAAATTATATATATATATATATATTTTTTTTTTTTTGGTTTTTCGAGACAGGGTTTCTCTGTGGTTTTGGAGCCTGTCCTGGAACTAGCTCTTGTAGACCAGGCTGGTCTCGAACTCACAGAGATCCACCTGCCTCTGCCTCCCGAGTGCTGGGATTAAAGGCGTGCGCCACCACCGCCCGGCCTTAAATTATATTTTTTATGAATAAATAAAAATAAAGCTATTTTCTGTATCTATATGTGGTGTGGTCACAACTGTGCTGAGGGCGGAGGTCAGATCTCTCCTTCTACAACGTGGCCAGGATTAAACTCAAGTGCCTTTGCACTCAGCACTGTCTCCCCCACACAGGGTCAATTATATTAAAAAATTAGGTTACCTCTATGCAATCAAATACAAGACTATAAACTATACTTCCTCATCTACTGTACGTCTATAACGTACTAATTTAATGGTTAAATGTGACTTGTCATACCTGGAGATGCAGTAGATGCCAGCTTTTGCTTATACTGTGTATTCTGAGAAGAAAGCATCACAGAGCCTATGTAAAGAGCCTGAGTCTGCAGCTCTGACTTCACAGTGCAGTTAAGTGGATTTGAGAGGCTAGAACCATAGGTCCACAAAACACAAAAGAACTTGAACACCTGAAGAACATCTTGTAGGTGTACCTAATAAAAAAAAAGCAAACAAAGTGAAGTCTAGTTCTCACTCAGACAAACTACCCCCGGATTTTTTTTTGTTTTGTTTTGTTTTTGTTTTTTGAGACAGGGTTTCTCTGTGGTTTTGGAGCCTGTCCTGGAACTAGCTCATGTATGTTGCAGGAGGTCCTTTCGCTTCTCCAGCCAATAGCCGCAGAGATACCAGCCCATTGGGGCATGGTCTCTCTCTTTAAAAAAGCAGCCACTTCCCTCCTCGCTCTCCCTTTTTTTTTTTTTTTTTTTTTGCTTCCTGCTCCGTTTCCGGTGACTAGACTCCTTCCTGATTGCACAGAGGGCTGTTGTCTGGGATGGTGATCTGTAAGTTTTTTCCCCTTTAAATAAATACCACCCTATTAATCATAATTCCAAACTGATGTGGGATTGTTTGTGACTTACGCCTTCACTTGTAGAACAGGCTGGTCTCGAACTCACAGAGATCCGCCTGCCTCTGCCTCCCAAGTACTGGGATTAAAGGCGTGCGCCACCACCGCCCAGCATTACCCCCGGATCTTTTCATTAATGTACAATAGGACATGAGTGATTTAATGCCATGTACCTTGAATCACTTCTTCAATATTTGGAATTTTAAGGACTTAGAAGGTGTCCTTGAAGAATGATAGTCAAGAACTCTACTATAACCCTTACAGTTGAAAACACGGAACAGAAAAGATAGGGACACTAACTAAAAACCTAGACAAGAACGGGACCTGAAAACTTTAAGAAAGAATTTTGAAGGAGTGAGCAATGCTGACAATGCTAAATACCATGAAGAGAGGGAGTCAGACAAGGACAAGAGCACACTGCTTGCAGCATGGAGGTAATACCGCCTAGGATAAGTTTCACGAGTGACTGTGTCTCCTGAATATCGTCTTTCAACACTAGGACAGTTTTCTCATCTACAAATGACATTTACAACGTGAACAGACTGGGCCGCTTTGATTCTTAAACACACTAGCCCATCCATAGGAACGCTGCAGGCTACTCTCAGCTCACTGTGCTGCCTGGCTGTCTTTACTATACTGCTCTGGAGGGGATGTTTGTCAGCACACTCCTCACTGCTGCAAAATATACTCCCATTAGTATTGGAACTGTGGTAATAAAATAACCTTCACCACCCGCAGCAGAATGCCTGTGAGAAGCCCAGTACCTTCATGATAAGGCTCATCAGAACCCTGAAATGCATGGCATCAGAAAACTCAAGCAGCAGTTCAAAGACACCAATGAGCAAGTGTAGGTAGCATCTGCTGTCGTCATCTAGCTGCTCGGGATTCCACCACGTAGCATCTGCAGGGACATGGTGACAAAGAGAAGCAATGGGGAAACCTACATGAGCATGCTCGGGGAGCTTCGCGTTCAAGTGAGGTGAACTATGGAGTTAAGAACTCAGTGTTGCATCACATTTAAAAATTTATGATCGTGTCTTACCTGTAGGAAAAGATTTGGGAGCCTTCAAGGTAAAAATAAAACACTTCAGGGAAAATATCAGTAAAATGGCGTCCTCCATAGTAACCTTCTGAGCACTGTGGAGCTGTTGGACATAGAGCGCCCACAGCTCTTCTGGCAATCCTTTGTTCAGCATCAGTTCCAGGTGCCACTCGGAGGGGATTTCCTGCAACATTAACGGACACAGAAACTAGCACATCCTGAAAGGAGTTCAAACATGTGCTCTACGAGCAGACGGCAGCAGACGTGCACGCGCCAGGAGGGATGGATTGACAACTGCATACACGACTGCGTGCGTGTATGGATGGGTAAACAGCTGCCGCTGGAAAGACGCTTCTAGTCCTCAGAAAGGGCATTGACAGAGCAATGTGAAACAACCTACCACCTACACGGAGTAAAACATAACTGTTCTATCCTGCTAACACTGTGGACAAATACAGCTCCAGCTGCTGCACCTCACAAGAGACAGACACTAAGAAGGGCTCACCTGGGCCACTTTTTAAAGTATGGAGAAGCATGTTCACATAATTTTAGCTAACAATGACTAAAATTAGAATTTATAAAAATTCTGGGAGTATACATAAATATGAAAAAAGTGTAACAAGTGTAACTCAGCAAATCCTGTAATGGGCAGCAGCCCTCTGGAGTTTAGAAGATAAATAAAAGAAAAATACTGCTGCAAACAGCAGATATTAAAACAATCTTGTTGCCGGGTGGTGGTGGCGCATGCCTTTAATCCCAGCACTTGGGAGGCAGAGGCAGGCGGAGCTCTGTGAGTTCGAGACCTGCCTGGTCCACAAGAGCTAGTTCCAGGACAGGCTCCAAAGCCACAGAGAAACCCTGTCTCAAAAAACCAAAAAAAAACCAAAAAAAAAAAAAAAAAAACCCAAAAAACAATCTTGTTACCTCAAAATGGGACACTAGGTACAAATGGAAACAGGATCTTTAATAACACTGTCAGAGACAACGGCAGGCCAGACATGGCCAGACCTACCAGGACACTCAACTGTTTTCAATATAAAGAATATTCTTTCAATAAGTACTATAACAGGTTTTCTTCAAGCCCTAACTCTGGAAGTGAGTTTGTCATCACCAGAGTAGTTATGAGTGAAACCTGGATAGTGGCCTGACAAAAAGAGTAAAGAGGAGTCAGTCATGACATAAAACCTTCCAACCTGGAAATCTCGTGATCTGAATAAATCTGCTGCAAAAGCACGAGAGTACCTTGCCTGAAACCCACTGCCACCACTGCTTCCCACTCCCCAGCTAGATCCCCAGCACCCACGCTGTGCTGCACTCCGTACCCGGCTGTCTACAGACACTGCACTCCTTACCACAGTAGCCATGATGCTTTTGAGCTTCTTTATTTTTTTCCGCAGTAAACTGAACACCCGAATAGCAAACGGAAAGCAGGTTTCTCTGAAGGATGAGCAGCAAGAAATAAGCACAGACATGATCACATGAAATGTCACTTTCTGCTTCAGGCTGCAGGACTCCTCTTCCCCAGCACTTATTAAATCTTCCACCTTGGGAAAGAAGCATTCTCCGTTACTGGTTAGTCATGATCTTTCCAGAACAAACTTTTCTAGCTATCTTAGGCTGATCTATGTCTCATGTGAGATGACAAACAGCCTTTTAAAAAGCAGTAACCACTGAACAAACACTTAGAAATTAATGTACATAAACACACTTGACAAATCAAATGCATTTAAAACACATACTTAAAAATACAAGCAGCAACAAAAATCAATAAATCAGACACCTAACACCATTAAAAGGTTTATAAAAGTATTTTCTTTTCATTTCATTTGGATATGCTAACAATGAAAAGACTTTAATATGTCAAATATAAATTAGAGAAAAAAGGTTAAAAATAACAAAGTATTTTAACTAGTCCAAAAAAAATTATATATATACAGAAAGAGAGAGAGAGGACTTAACAATTGGTAGAATATGTTAAGTTAGTGGTCGTAACAAGTTTATAATCCTAGCACTTGGGAGGCTGAGGCAGGAAGATCAGGAACTCAAGGTCAGCCTGGGCTACAACAGCGAGTTCCAGGTCAGCTTGAGCTGTAACTCTCAGTCACAGTCCCCACAGGAATACCCCAAACGACCTTTGTATTTGTTTAAGACTGGAACAACAACAAAAGACAGCACGCCTACTGAGCATGAGAGCAAAGTGCAGAGCAGGTGGACAGCACACCTACCAGCCTCAGCATCGAAGAGCGGTCTCCTGAGCTTAAATTGCCAGCCAGCAACTGGACCATCTTCTGATTTCCTACGCCAATTATATCTATTGACTTTCTGCTTCTAATAACATTTTCAAGAGCTGTAAAAAAAATTGAATACAGACAGCCCTTTATCAGTGGCATTCATATAAAGAATTAGGTAAAGTTACACATTTAGATAAAATTTTTACTAGTTCTCTTCAAAGACTTGCTTTTTATGCTTCTTTTTAATACAAGTCTGAATTTGTCTATGAGCCACTTAGTCAAAATAAAGACTATTATGCTGACATATAACAAATACAACTGCAAACAGCAGAGAGAACCAAATTTTAACAGTTTCATCTTCTTTATAAAACAGACAGCTGTTTTATCTAACACTTGTTTCTTACCTTCTTTCCAGCCTCTTAGTAGAGGATGCAGAGAGCAAATTCCTGACTTTGACAGATGTATAGCAATCTTTACATCAGGAGACTCGATGTCATCACTAGTAATGACCATGAAAGGCAGCAACTGGACAACCACCTGATTTGACAACTGATGGCTTGCACTCAGCACCTCTTCTTTAATTAGGATGTTTGCTGCAAGCTCTAGCACCCTGTACCTGGAAGACATGAGATACATTTGGTTCAGAGACATGTTAGAGACTTCAAGCCAACAGAATTCATTACTACACTGTTCTGGCTCAATTGGTAATAGCTTGCTTGGTCTCCTAATGAAAAATACTGCTCAGAGACAACTAAGACACAACCTCAAGCCCATGCCAATAAAGGAGTTATCTAGGCGATAATCTTGTCCTGTCAGATATCTTAACAAAAAACAAACACCTCCAACTGTAACAAAATATATTTCATCAGATATCCCAGCTCCACTAGACAGTGAAGATTACAAAATATATTACATCAGATACCCCAGCTCCACTAGACAGTGAAGATTCACATTCATCCTGCATTAAAAAAAAATGCATATTCTAAGCTGGAGAGATGGCTCAGCAGTTAGGAACACTGGCTGCTCTTCCAGAGGACCTGGCTTATGCTCCCAGCACCCACATGGCAATTTAACAACCAGTGGTAACACCACTTCTGGGACTCTGACACCCTTTTCTGGCCCCCATATGCACTAAGCATTTATAAGGTACACAGAAATACATGGAGGATGGGGCTGGAGAGATGGGCTCAATAGTTAAGAGCACTGGCTGCTCTCAACTCCCAGCACCCACATGGCAGCTCATAACTGTCTGTAACTCCAGTTCCAGGGGATCTGAAACCCTCACAACAAAGCATATAAAATAAAGTGAAATAAATTTTAAAAAAAGGAAAAGAAAAAAAATACATGGAGGCAAAATACCCCTACACATCATATCACATAAATTAAATGAAAAGTATATCCTTTCTGGGAAAGGGAGAGCCAGCTTTCATTAAGGATTGTGGCCCCTGCTAGACCAACCACTCTCCACTGGATGGCCCCATGCCAATGCATGTACAGGCAGCACAAACTGGATTCCAAGGGTTATAAAGGAAAGAGCAGAACCACAAAATTGGGAAGATGTGACATCAAGGGTGAATCTAGTAGTATGGTTAAATTATATTACACCATGCATGAAATTCTCTCTCCTCCCCCCCCCTCTCTCTCTCTCTCTCTCTCTCTCTCTCTCTCTCTCTCTCTCACACACACACACACACACACATTCTCACATATACGTGCTCCTCTGTCACTGTATCAGCAACTGACCTATAGAGCAGACAGAAACTACATGAAACATACTCTCACGTTCTCCAGATCTGTCACTTTTCCTTGCCAAAAACAAAAACCTAAACTAAAAGCTCATCATATACTTAAGTGTTACGAGCTTTTGAGCTGGTTTACTTTTTATTGACTTTAATTACAAATAAGAGAATTGGAAACTCTTCCCACCCTATGACTCAATTTTAACATCTTTTTTAAATTTTTTTTATTTTTTATTTTATTTTATTTTATTTTATTTTTGAGACAGGATCTCACTATGTAGCTCTGGCTGTCTTGGAACTCACTCTACACCAGGATGGCTTTGAACTCAGATTCACCTACTTGTGCGTCCTAAGTACTAGGATTAAAGGCATATGCCACCACACCCAGCTCTAATATTATATCTTATATACTTTTGCATTTTATTTTTTAGAAGTTCAAGCATAAAAAACAGCATTCAAATACCAGGAAATCAAACAGATGTCTTACAGTTCAAGAGAGCAATCCATTGAGATCTGTTTTACCAGGGCTGGTGAGATCTCACAGGTCAAAGCAGTTGCTACACAGGCCTTGACACCCGAGTTCAGTTCCCAGCCCCATGGGAAGGTGAAAACACAATGACTCCACACAATTGTCCTCTGACCTCCAAGGGTAAGCAGTGGCACATACACACATTGTACAAACACAGGCACACATACAAGTAACAAACTTTTTAAAGCTCTGTTCTACAGTCCTGAGCAAAAGTCAACCGTTGCTAAGTTATTAAAGTCCTCAGGAAAAGGAAGAGAGCAGTGTGAACCTGAGGTCACTGACGCACAGAGCATGCGCTCAGCAGAAACAAACATACCACCCCTTATTCTTGAGAAGTTCTGCTCTTTGGAAGAGATTCAGAAGATGCGAAATGGTCTCCTCTACACTCAAGTGTTGCTGGAAAATCTAGATAGGGAAGAAAACACGATTAAATAAATATTTACTACCAAATATCTACAGTGTTCTTAAAATGAAATTTAAAAAATTAAAATTTTCAATTAATTGTAAAGAATCTCTCCGAAGAATCTCAGTAGAATGTCTATTCTATGAGAACTTTTCTTTTGTTGCACTTTTCTTTTCACTTAGGACAATTTCTCAAAAGTGGCATTCATGACCCAATTTGCCCTGGTCTTGGGACACTGGCTGCCGACACAAAGCTCTCAAACCATAAGCACGTTTCCTTTCTGTAGTATTTCCTTATCCAGCAAACTGTGCAGTCTCCTTTGAGACTCATCAGACTATGTTTAATGCACTAATTTCCAGACACATTCCTGCATAGAGCCAAGCACCACGTGAGAAAAACCAAGTACCTACAAACAAAACCTGCACATCCACAGAACACGTTTACTTACCTCAAAAGCACTCAGTGCTGACAAAACGACATCTACATTATCATCGCCTAACCGGGTTAGAATAGCTTCTTTAATGAAAGTCTCATCAATGCCCTCCTGAGCAAGAGAAAAGCAAATTAACGATTACAACAAAGCTCACAAATTTTCCCACTGGAACCTCAGAACACAGGCATGGAGACCAGGCCCTACTCTGAGAGCACACGAATGAGAACCAGGTCATGTCCAACAGGCCTTCTGAGATGGGTAGCTGCTACAATCCTCTTCCAGTCTCACTGAACATAGCATATACATTCTAAAGGCCATCTTTTAATTACGAGTTGGCCTTGCTAAAATAGAGAGCCCAGAGAGAGATGACAGGGCAGTGAGATGACTGCGGGTGAAGGCCCTTGACATGACAATTTGAGTTCAATCTCACATGGTGGTCCTCTGATCCACATATTGTTCTCTGACCTCTGTGCAAACACTTGCATATATAAGCACAGGCACTAAATAAATAAATAGATTTCATCTTAAAAATCAACTATAACCCTTAAATTATAAAACAAAAACATAAACAAACAACCCCCAAAACAGGGTAGTTATTTTGAAAGAACAAAAAATAAATAAATAAAAATTTTTTTGACTTATCTGTAATTACACAATATAAATTCTTGACAGAAACTCCAATTTCTTACTCTAGAATTAGACTTGGAGGGGGATCTGACACAAACCTTTGATGTTTTCATGATATTCTTCAGGTGGTTAATGGCCAGAAGTCTCACAGGAGCCAGTGGATGATTCAAACTGAGCATCAAAGATGTGTCAGAGTCCTCTAAAAACTGCAAGTCCAACATAATAATTCAATTATTTCACTTAACCTGAGTAACACATAACTAAAAATGAAAACAGAAAACACCCTACGCTTCCCGATATGCTGTGCAATAACCATCTAAATGTAGAGAGAGAAAAGTAAATTAGTCTAGAGGACATGGCTGAGTGACAATACATGAAAACATTCATATTGCACATGTGTTCCATATACTTGTGTGGATGGGTGTGGGTTAAGTTTAGTGAAATAGCATTACAACGTAAGTCTAATTCCAAGTGATAGTACTAAGTTGGTACCTCGGTGAAGACAGGACACAACCCAGAAAACAACAGAGAAGCTTGAACTGGCATGAAATCAGACTACAAAGGTCATCTACCTATCTACCTGATTTGTTTTTTGTTTTTTCTCTGTGTAGCTTTGGAGCCTGTCTTTGAACTAGCTCCTGTAGACTAGGCTGGCCTTGAACTCACAGAGTGCTAGGATTAACACCACTGGTGGCGCACGCCTTTAATCCCAGCGCTCAGGAGGCAGAGGCAGAAGGATCTCAGTGAGTTTGAAGCCAGTCTGATCTACAGAGCCGGTTCCAGAACAGCAAGGACTGTTACACAGAGAAATCTTGTCTCGAAAAACAAACAAACAATAAAGGAAATGCACCACTGGAACTAAGAGCCCGATATCAGAGAAAAAGTGCGTTTATCTTTATAATACTCATTTTCAAGGGTAATCATAAGAACTTATCAAATTTCTTAGCATTTAGGCTTTTTTTTTTGTTGCCATAACTTTTGCTTTATTTTTTTTTAAATTTATTTATTTATTAAGGATTTCTGCCTCGTCCCCACAACCTCTTCCCATTTCCCTCCCCCTCCCCCGATCAAGTCCCCCCCCCCCCATCTGCTCGAAGAGCAATCAGGGTTCCCTGACCTGTGGGAAGCCCAAGGACTGCCCACCTCTATCCAGGTCTCGTAAGGTGAGCATTCAAACTGCCTAGGCTCCCACAAAGCCAGTACGTGCAGTAGGATCAAAAACCCACTGCAATTTAGCATTTAGGCTTGAACTAAAAAATTTCTTAAGATTTATTCAGGGTCATGATCATGTGACTGCAGGCTCCTGCGCTGGTAGGTGTACACCTGCAGTAACAAGGCATGCTGGAAGCCTGTGAGGCCACCACTGGTGACAACATATGAAATGCCCAATATTTTCCTGAATAGTACATTTTTCTTTAGTTATGATTCCTGCCCCAGAGCTCTGTTTCTAGTAAGTACACAAACTATAAATTCTCAGCTCTCTGATGTTTTTCAACAGAGGAAAGCAGGAAATGACTATTGGTTGATGCTCTTCAAATAAACAACCACACCAATTCCTGTTTTGACTGCTGGGGAAGGACAACATACCTGATACTTTCCTCCGCTCGTAGAAAGGGAAATAAACTGATGGAAAAGCTCCTGCTTTTTAAGGCCTGTGATTTCTTTCAGGTGTTCCTCTAATACAACATCTAATGTTCTGGGGTATCTAGGAAGAAATTACAGTATTCATTCAGTATTTTTTTAAAGATTTATTAGGCATATAGTATTCTGCCTGCGTGTATGCCTGCAGGTCAGAAGAAGGCACCAGATCTCATTATAGATGGTTGTCAGCCACCATGTGGTTGCTGGGAATTGAACTCAGGACCTCTGTAAGAGCAGCCACTGCTCTTACCACTGAGCCATCTCTCCAGCCCCATTCAGTATTCTCGATAAAGCTATTAGCCACATTCACCTACATGTACAAAACACATATAAAACATAAAGGCTAATATTGATCAGGTCTGTCACTATGAGACAATAAAAGTTTATAGTTTTTTTTTTTAAAAAAAAGTTATACTGTCCACCGACCTGCCACAACCCCTATGTCCTTTTGTCTTTCAATAAATCTCATTCTAAATATACTGTCCTTTTCTGAAAGGATAAAGTAGGAAAAGTATCTACAATCCATTGCTTAAGACGCGAGTTCTTTGCAGAACAGACGAACATTAAAGACGAGCACCCACACACACCCAACTTACTTGCTTTCTAAAAGTCTGATGAGAGGAAGAAACTGCTCGTTCAGCAAAGCTACTTCATTAGCATGCGTTTCCTCTTTGGAACTGTATGAAATATATTCTTCAAAAAGAAGGCTATAAAAGAAACAGAATCCCTGCTATGTACTAAGTGTTTTACAAATCATATCTCTAATGATCACACCTCCATAGGAAAGAAATTATATTGATTTTGCTGATGAAAAAATTAGGGTATTGGAAAGCTTCCAATTTGCCTGAGGTCTAACGAAACAGCAGCAAACAGAAGTCAAGAGTGTAGTAACCCTTTCTGTGCCAGGAAGAGAAGAGAGCTATAAATTTCAAAGGTCATTCTGATTCCAGAGTAAATTAAGCCTCTGTGCACACAAATGAGGACACCTGCAGGCAGTTCTCTTTCTCACCTAACAGAACGACAAAACAGATCCAGGAGGACTGGTTTCTAAAACTACTATTCTAACTGAAGTGGCATTCAGCCAGATCCCAACCTATGTCAACTACAACACCTAGACATTCTAGTCATCACATCAAATAGAAAATGAATAGAGAAGACAGAAGTGTCTTTTGGAGAAACGGAGGAAACAATTTCCACTGCATACCTACTCTCAGTATGAAGATTCTAAATGACATTTACTGAGTATCCGTTTGAGGTGCTATTTCAGGCACTATGCCTGAAATTATTGATAGAAAAATTTAAACATCTGTAAACTTAGTTACAACTCAAATTTAGCGAGACTAATACTTTCTCATTTTCTTCTATAAACATTAATGACAATCAAGAAAACTTTACTTTTGCATTTTAGGCTGTCAGTTGTTAGATTCAATACTCATAACTAAAGAAATGATATAGACAGTGCAAATAAAATACCTTAAAAAGCAAACCAGAAAACTACTGATAAATACTGAAATGAATACTTAGCCATAAATATGCAAATCAGAAGCACGTTAACAACCATCTTACCTAGCGAGCAGGTGATCTAAGTTGTTCGTCAGTGGTATTTTTGTAAGTATTGCTTCTAAGTGTCTATTGTAGACTTGACTGTCAATTCCTTCAGTTGATATTCCTTGATATATGTAAACAGATGAAAACTGAGCGATATTCTTTTTGGCATCTTCATGATTAAATTTACTTACAGTGGAAATTTTTTCTAGTAATAACTTAAAAACATATATACTAGTATCTCTAGCTTTTTACTGATTACCTTTTTTTGATTCACTTTATTGGTAAAGTGGAGTGGCAGCGCAAATAATTCTCCCACAACATTTCCCCTTTTTTGTCTCAATAAAAGGGAAAGGTTTTAACTCTAACATAGTAAAACTATATAAAATACAAACAGTTATCAAGTAAAAAACACATCCACAATATCTAGTTCACTATTACTTGGCAAATTCAGAGAAAGCCGGGCGGTCGTGGCGCCTTTAATCCCAGTACTCGGGAGGCAGAGGCAGGCGGATCTCTGTGAGTTCGAGGCCAGCCTGGTCTACAAGAGCTAGTTCCAGGACCGGAACCAAAACAGCTATGGAGAAACCCTGTCTCGAAAATAAAAAACAAACAAACAAACAAACAAATTCAGAGAAAATACTCCATTATCTATCCTATCTTGGTGAATCCAAAGTTTTGTATGTAACCTATATTCTATACTTATTCTCTTTTTTTTTTAAATATTTATTTATTTATTATGTATACAATATTCTGTCTGTGTATATGCCTGCAGGCCAGAAGAGGGCACCAGACCTCATTACAGATGGTTGTGAGCCACCATGTGGTTGCTGGGAATGGAACTCAGGACCTTTGGAAGAGCAGGCAATGCTCTTAACCTCTGAGCCATCTCTCCAGCCCTCTCTTTTGTTTTAAAAAAATTATTTATTTATTTATTATGTATACAACATTCTCCCTCCATGTATACCCACACGCCAGAGGAAAGCACCAGATCTCACTACAGATAACCATGTGGTTGCTGGGAATTGAACTCGGGACCTCTGGAAGAGCAGTCAGTGCTCTTAACCACTGAGCCATCTCTCCAGCCCCTACTTATTCTCTTTTTATTCAAAAATTACTTGTTTATTGATGTATATGACTGTGTGCCTGCACAGAGCTTATGTGTACCAGATATATCCAGGTGCCTTTTGATGATGGCACAGGGCATCAAATCTGGAACTGGAGTTACAGACAGCTATGAACTGTCCAATGTGGGTCCTATGCAAGGGCAGTATGCACTCTTAACTGCTGAGTCTCCCCATCTCTTTTTAACTAGAATCAAATGTATATTACATCTATTGAGTCATTTACAGTTCTCAAAACATTTTTTGTATAACTACTCTCATTTGTCCTGCACCTGAAATTCTCCATACTTTTTTTTTTTTTTTTGGTTTTTCGAGACAGGGTTTCTCTGTGGTTTTGGAGCCTGTCCTGGAACTAGCTCTTTATAAGCATTATCATGATATAGGTATCAAGAATAAAACAGAAGTGCAAAAATTATATTGTTTCCCCAGACCACACTAAAAGTTAGAGAAGCTGGCTCTAGCTGGGATCCCTGAAAGCAGGCCAAGCTTTCCTGGCAGTGCCTCCTGACTAAACCAAGGCTGCCATCTCCTAGACTTACTGAAATGAAAGCTTTAAGTCAAGATTTAGTTGTGCAAACCTTTTTATATCACACTTAACATAATTTAGAGATGTTTTTGCTAATATTCTCTAAGCAGCCATAGAACCAAGTATTTCTTTTCTGTTTATTGAAGCAAAGAAAAATAATGAAAATTATCAATTTCTTTCATAATTTGGATTTGTTTGTTTGTTGCTTTTTTTTTTTTTTTGAGACAGGGTTTCTCTGTGTAACAACCCTAGCTGTCATGGAACTAGCTCTGTAGCCCAGGTTGGCCTTGAACTCACAGAGATCCACCTGCCTCTGCCTCCCAAGTACTGGGATTAAAGGCATGTGCCACCACCGCCCAGCCATAATTTGTATTTTTATGTATGAAATCTTCTTGGCTTACTTTCTGGCAGCTAGATATTTACTGTGAATGAATCATTAGAGACCTTTAAGTATCTTTATGTATCTAGATGGGAATATTATTTTAAAGTGTGTTACTTTTGTCTATGCTCTGAAACATTTGTTTAATGATGTAAAGATGTGTTGCATCTTTGTTTATGTTACATTTGTTTAAGTCTGTGAAGCTGTGATTCCTTGCCTGTCTAAAACACCTGATTGGTCTAATAAAGAGCTGAATGGCCAAGAGCAAAGCAGGAGAAAGGATAGGCAGGGCCGGAAGAGAGAGACTATAAATAGGAGGAATCTGGGGTGAGGAGAAGGAGCAAGAAAACAAGAAGAGGAGGACGTTAGGGGCCAGCCACCCAGCCTCCCAGCCAGTCAGAGCAAGAGTGAAAGTAAGACATACAGAAGAAAAGGAAACAGCCCAGAGGCAAAGGTAGACAGGTTAATTTAAAAGCTGGGTGGAAACCAGCCAAGTTAAGGCCGGTTGTTTATAAGTAAGAATAAGACTCCATGTGTGTAATTTATTTGGGAGCTATACAGCGGACCCCTCAACAGAGCCAAAAGAGCAAAGATTAAAAAAGCCAAAAGAGCCAAAGGGTAAATAAAACAACAACAGGAAGCAAAGATTTACTTGGCCAAATCCTTTCATTCCAACAGAACCTATTTAAATACCAGAATCCTGAGAAATGTCTCAGAATGATAGTTCTCCCTTGGGTGAAGCTGCCCAACCCTAAAGATTTTTCACTTAATTATATAGAAACAACTTAGTTACATAGAAACACCTGAATAGAAAGTTTTAAATAGTTTAAAGCTATCAACCAGGTGTCTGTCCTATTTGATGATAGTTGGAACTTAGGAAGCTTTTAGGCCCAAATGTAAGCCACATACCCGCAACGTGCCGAACAACAGAGGTAACCAGATGGGGAAGCATGTAGCGCAGAAGAGGACTGACGTCATAGCGTTCGGAGATCCCGTGAAGTAGCGCTATGAGGTCTGGAACGCTGCACAAATGAGGAAACGGCCTGGAAAGAAGGAAGCATACATGATATGGACAGATAGACAAAAGCAGTGTAAAAGCAGTAGATCTCACCAAAACTATTCAAAACAACTTCACTGGCCTCTAACTATAAAACAATACCTACTTTTCCCCAAGCGTTTCTGGCTTTTGTCGCTGTAAGAGAATTATCAGGCAACCTAATCCATCCTTGACCTGAGAAGGAACCTTGGTCAATGTTCTGATGAGCTGGGATGCCAGTGAATTCACAAAGGTATCTTCCATTGTTACTTTCACAGAAATCTGACAGATTATCATGTATGTGGCAGCTCTATAATCTGGTAAAGATGATTTCAACCCCTAAGTATTATTAAAATAAAAGGAAAATGAAAAAACACAGAATTAGGTTCTTCTACTTAACATGTTACTTAAGTACAACCAATCAGAAATGTTAACGTTTGTCCTGATTCATGTACAATCCTTATGTTTCCATGTATAAGACGAAAACAATTTTTAAGCCGGTGGTCACACCACTCAGGAGGCTGAGGCAGGATGAACATGAGTTCAAAACCAGTGTGGGCCACACAGCCAAAGGCTCTCTCTCAAAACAAAACAAAAAAACAAAACAAAACTAAGGTTGGCAGGACGGTCAGCGAGTCTAGTTACTTGGTACCATGTCTGACGACCTGAGTTCAGTCCTCAGGGCACACATGGTAGAATAGAACAGACTCACACAAGCTGTCTTCTTACAGAGGCAAAATGCAATTTTAAAACTATCTAATAAATAAATACATTGTAAGTTAAAAAAGCGAATGAACACTGACAGGCAATGACTCTTAAGAAATGGAATATCAAGGTGTTCACTTTTTTTCCTATGCGGACACAGGGTGAGAAGGAACAAACTCGAGACAAGCCTCCTAACTCAGACATCCACTACACATCCCAACAAGAGGCAACAAGTTCTGCTTGACCTGCAAGCTCATGTCTTTGGAAGGGAGAGGTCCATCTCATCATTCACGAGAGTAAAACTGTATTATTGTATTTAAGACAGTAATCTGGGGCTTAGAAGCAGTGAAAGCAGAACCTCTGTCAAGTGTCTGGGAGGTGGCAGGTAGGAAAGACTCAGTGCTAAGGAAACAGGGAAGAGTCAGCCTGTGCCTGAAGGGCAGGCTCCTCTTTCCTGAATGACAAAAATATGACTAAGAAAATAGACCTAGGACATAGAAAGAAGCAAACATTTATTATTAGATATCTATTTAATAATGGAAGTATTTTTTAACCTAAGGATTTGATCTTATTAACCATTCAAAATATAAGCTATCAATTTAAAAATATGTATTTCTTTATAAAATTTTCAAAAGCAAGCAAATTCCTTTCTGTATAAAATTATTTACTTGACTTACCTTTTGGATGTATGGGAATAGTTTGGCAACTACATTATCTGACAGGTTCTCAGCAGCCACCAGAGCAGACACGATGGTGGAAGCATAGAAGGCCAAGAGCACTCTGAGCTGAGCTGAGCTTCCCGGATACTCAGCGAACGCCTGAAATAGGGAACACAACACACATGCAGGCTCTTGTGGAACACTCTGGTTCTTTAAGTATCATACACAATGCTGAATAAAGATGTTTCTTGACATTTTTAGGTAGTTTCTATTTAATAATCACTGTAGCTGGAATTTGACAAGCAATAGGCTAATTTATTTCTGCAGAAAAAAAATATCTTTTGGTGAAAAAACTGATTCTTCACCTGCTCGTGCACCCCAAGAGCAGACCATTCAACATAGGAACTTCTTCCAAGTTCTACCAAATGTTTCCTTTCTGAGAGCCATCCATCACTTTGGGAGCCCCCACACTCAACACACTCATGGCTCACCTTCACAGATCTGGTCACCAAACTGCAAATAAAATCCATGAATCCAAGGTCCTTGTAGCAATGGGTGACCAAAGTTCCTCTAGCTAAGGGCACTCCACACTGCTGTTATTGATAAAAAGAACAAGCTATTAGAAACAACTGCCAACTGACCATTACCCCAACTATCTATCTAGTAACATCTGGCAGGTCATCAAGACCTTATAACTGGTGCTGATGAGATTAACACATAAACTCTTAGAAACTTTTGGAACTCCAACGAGCAGGGTAACAGCAAAGGGAGAAAGCACTTATAATGTACCACTTACACATATTTAACCTCAATTTTCTAGCTTGTAATCATTCTACTAGTAAGATTTGGTTTTTGAATCGGTCTGCCTCACAATATTCTAATAGCAGAAACAGGCGCAGGCCCTGAAAAACCTATACTGCTATCCCCACTAACTACTACTGCACATGGTCTGTTAATAAACATTAACAAAACAATTAAATGAATAACCCAAGTCATCTTTAAGGGGACAGTGAGGTTTGGATACCTGAAAAGAGCTTCTAGATAGTGCTGAAGTCTTTGGAAGACCAGGAGAAAATGGTTTGATGTTCTGAGCAGGGTGAATGCAGGGAAAGGCAGCTTTGGCACAGACTAGACTTTCTGAACTTCAGTTAGCTTGACTAATTTACATTCAGGTTCTGAAATTTTCTTTTGAATTCAAAACTGAGGATTCCTTTCCTCCAGTTCCTTCTGACTGCTAACTTCACTACCAGCTGTCACTAGCTCTTGGTGCAGGCCCATGGCCTGCTGGTCTACCTTCACTCTCATCAGCTTTTGCCCCAGCCCCATTAGCACACTCACACGCAGTAAAAGTTCCTTCCTATGACATCCACCTACTTTCTTCTAGTCTCTGTTGTAGACGGACCTTACTAGGCCCTTCTTCTCAGTAACTATCCTTTCATTCCAAACACCTATTCAATTCCAAACACCTATTCAAGTTTCCTGATGCTCTTCAAGTTATCCTTATCCCTTTAATTTGTGTAAGTATTTTAAGAGTTCCATTCTCTTCACCTTTTAAAAAATTACTTTGGTACTAAAATTACAAATGCAAAGTAGCACTCATATTGCAACTGTGCCCACTTTAGTCACAGGAACTCTAGTAGCTTCAATTTCTGAGTCCATCCTCACCTCTATAAAGAGTTTATAAGACTTCAAGACAGTAGGATGTAAAATGGCTAGTCTAATGTCAGGTACTAAATAAGTACTAGATGTCATTATAAGAGTTTAACAGGAAGTTAGGAAACAAATGGTACAGATAAAACTGGACTATCTTCATGATCATTAAGGGCTTTACTTTTCCCAAATTAAATTAAACTGAATCCAAAATTGCCTATCCTTTCCCTCTTTTCCTTCTGATTGCTAGCTTCACCACCATCTGCCATCAGCTCTTAGTGCAGGCATATCTGTGACTCTGAGGTCAGCCTGCTCTACATGGTGAGTTTCAGGCCAGGCAGGGTTAGAGAGAGAACTTTCCTCAAAATGAGAAAGTATAGCTTGGCCTCTACAGTGAGACCCTACCACCAAAACAAAACTATTAATACTAGTCAAGCAAGTAGGGAGGAAGGGGGTGATTCTCTCAGTGGAGGCTGCTCAGGTGAGACCCTGTCTCAAAGCAAACAACAAAAAAGCAAAACAAAATAAAAAACCTTAATCATGGTTTATAATAATTATATACATGAATGAACATGGCATTAACCAATCTTACCTTAACAGGAAACAGCCAAAACCATTTGTGCTTTGGATTGCTAATTTTTAGAAGTTGTATCACCCGCACAAACACCCGTGTCTCATGGTAGGGCAGGACACAAGCGATGAGACTGTCGGGGTTGTAAAGATGGATATGGAACCTAGGAACAATATGGCATGATTAAAATCAACATGATATACAAAATTCACAAGTACTTGCTTTTGCTCTTTTTTTTTTTCCTTTCGACAGTCTCACTGGGTAGTCCCACGGGGCATGAAACTGGCTATGTAGACAAGATCAGGATGGCCTCGTCTCGCGGAGAAACTCAGAGATCCACCTGCCTGTGCTTCCCAAGAGTGAACCACCATGCCTGGCGGACACGTTTCTAAAAGGGCCAAATCCTGTCTCAATGAAGTATAAAGACCTACGATGAATTTCAACCACAACAAGATAAACAGTATTTAGATGATAAACTCTATTTTGCATTCAAGTTTGATTCAACATGGTTTAATCAATTCTGAAGCAATAACATTTTGAATATTCAGTATCAAAATTTATACCCTATTCACTTTAAACTTTAATGAAACTGTGGTCATCATCATCATCAAACCAAGAAAACTAGCTGGCTAAAAAGACAACAATTGCTGGGCTTGTCTGCGCTCCAGTAACTTCCTACTGCTTTCCTAACCACCATATTTCAAAATAGTTATAATAATAATGATGATGATAGTAATAAAAAATTTTGGTTGTTTTTTGAGACAGGGCTTTTCTGTGTAGCCCTGATTGTTCTGGAACTGGCTTTGTAGACCAGGCTGGCCTTGAACTCAAGAGATCCACCTGTCTCTCTGACTTCCAGGTGCTGGGACTTAGGGCGTATGCCACCACACCCTGTGAAAAACTAAAAGCTTAATAAAATCATATTAATTTCTTCAGATAGAAATATCATAGTGCCACAGCTTGCCTTCTATTAATTTTATACAGGCTCGAATATTAACCATGACACTACTTGTATGAAACTTTCTCAACAAATCCTGTCAAAGCCACCTCTCCAAATCTTATGTAAACTTTTATTGAGGTATTTAAAGACAGTCACCAAGAACAACCTACTGATTTTTTTTTTAATCACACTTAACATTTGCTGAATAAATGCTACATGAAGAAGGCTCAGCCATTTAGCCTCTACAAGCTGCTCTTGTAGAGGTCAAAAGTCTGGTTCCCAGCATCCACAGTAGTTAGTACGGGCCATGGTATATACATGCTTAATACACATTACTAATATTACTTGACTTGGCTTGATATTTTAAAGGATAGTCTTAACCTCTAGTGTGGAAAGAAAGAAACTTAATAGTTTCATCCTTGGGAATGACTCTGAAAAGGAAATGTACACTGCTCCTTAGAACTAATGAGGTTAGCCGGGCAGTGGTGGCGCAAGCGTTTAATCCCAGCACAGGTAGTCGGACCTCTATTGAGTTCAAGGTCAGCCTGGTCTATAACAGCAAGTTCCAGGACAGGCTCCAAAAGCTACAGAGAAACCCTGTCTCAAAAACCAAAAAAAGAAAAACTAATGAGGTTAGGTTTGGTCTGATGGCGCCCATAGTACTGAGACAGGAGCAAGAGTGCAAAGCCTTAATCTCAGGATTTGGGAGGCAAAAGGAGGCAGATTCGTGAGTCTGAAGTCATCCTGATTTACACAGTGAGTTCCACGCCAGCCAGGGCTACATAGAAAGACACATTCTGAAAAGAGAAAGAGAGAGAGAGAAGTTAAAAACCAGCTCAAGCTGTATGAGACCTTACCCTCAAAACAAAACTAGACAAGAGTGATGGCATACGTCTTTAATCCCAACACTGGGGAGGAAAGGGACAGATATCTGAGTCTGAGGTAACCAGAGATACACAGTGAGACCCTGTCTCAAAAAACAAACAAACACCACAAAACCCAAAAAGTCTAAACACAATAAATGGGACATTTTACTCGAGATCAGCATGTTTAATATAAGAACATGTTCACTTCACACTCCAGACATCACATTAATCTAAGTCAGCTCCAGCTAACAACACAGCTTTAATGAGTGTCTGCAACTCTCTAGTCCGTAAAAGATTAACGTGGTTAGCTACCTGTGAATCAACCACTCCAGGCACTTCTGTGCTGGCTTAAGCAGGAAATACGGAGACAAGTGAAGGAGAAACAGTGAAATGTTTTCATCCAGCTGTTTGTTCACTGCTTTGGTCTGAACGCTGCGCTCCAAGGTTTTTGCTAGCTGGCTGAACAATGGTGCTTCAAACTGTTCAAAGGCAGGGTCAATTCCAAGAAGCTCCTCTAGGCCAGTGCATCCTACAAGAAGAGTCACTTAGAACTAACTTCTACAGTTTCCTTATCCTTAAATCCAAGAACCGTATAATGTGTAATGCACTCTCAAACGCTGGTTTTTGGTTTTACATATAGGATATATCTGATCTCACTCAATAGGAGGAAAGAAACTACTTCACACCAAGAACTCCATCCCGACCCCTCTTTCTAATCCTTGTTATAACTACTCTCAGTTCTGGAAGACTCCCTCCACACCCCAGTCATTTTCTCAATCTCCTTATTTTTCTTCCTTTTACGTATTAATTGCTTTGTAAAATTTCAGATTCCACTATTTATAAATACATTTAAGCATCTAACAAGATTGCTTTTTTCCCCCTTAACAAGACAAATCAAGCAAGGACCTGCTCGGGAAGCAACAACGCAGAAGACAAGAAAACACAGAAAAAGCCCCCAAAACCATTGCTCCAGGAACTTTGCTGAGTGAAAGGAGGCTCACCGATGGCAAAGGCGGTGTCCCTGTCGATGGTGGCCGCTTCCTTGGGGTCAAACAACAGAGAGGCCACTTCATGTCTAGATAGGAGACTGGGATCAGTTTGAGGAAGGGCGAGTCGTTGGAGCTGCTGGGCTAAGGACGTCATCTTGCAAGGCAGTGGATGTCTCAAAACACGGGCTAAGAAATAAACATCGTGGAAAACTTCTGCGAAACTTCAAGCGGCTTAACCTGGCAGCACAGGTCTCATGAACTGGCAACACCGAGTTCCGTACTCTCGAGGACACAGAAACCCACCGCCCAGGCTCTCCAGAACCGGGGATGCTCAATCACCTAAACAGCATTAACTACACCTCGGCAGCTCACGCTTTCCCCAGGCAAGGAACCACGGCTTCAAATCCCGCCCTGGCTCCCCGTCCCAAGTCACGGCCGCTCCTGTCTGCACCGTGCTCCTCCTCACCCTGAACTTGGAATATCTGCAGGACTGGATATCCAACAACTCCTCAGAGCAGCTCCCACATGGTACCGGCTCTATCCCGGAACTCCAAAGCACGCCTCATAGGAACTTCCGGTTTCGCACTACGGCCAGAGAAGAGGGACATGTTTGTAGGAAACGCGATGTGCTAGCCCCGCCTCCCCGAGAGCTAAACCTACCTCGTGCTGGTCATTTAATCCCCCACCTACTTCCCCCTGCACGTGCCTGATCCTTGAGGCCCCGCCCTCGATCCCGCACCTCTTTGAAGCTCCGCCTTCCATCCCCGCCTCTTTCTAAGACCCCCACCTTTATCCTACGCCCTTTTACTAAGCCACGCCCACAGCCCTACCCCTTCGAGCCCTTCTGTCCCGAAAACCACGCCTCTAGGGCCCGCCCCTTTCGGAGCCTCGCCCCTTGGTACTACAGTTTGCTGCTCCGGGTCCCTGCTGTTTCGCCGCGGTTTGTGTTCCCCTTAAGCTAAGGTCTGGCGTTAAGTCTCTGCACCGTCTTTTGGAGCTTAATCAGTAAGTGTAGTCAGCAGGTTTATTCACGAGATACTTATCCAGCCCGCTAAATGCTGAGGCGCGGAAAGCCGCGTGCGGAATACAGGCCTCTGCACCACGCCTCCTGCTCCTCTGTAGGAACCTCCTCAAATTCCTCACCTGAGTTTGTCACACGCTAAGCGGGGGCAAACCTGGGATGAGCAGCAGACCCCAGTGCAATCTGTTGAGTTGTAAATACTGAACCCTCGCTGCGCTCAGCTAGTGACAGCTTTATCACTTTTGCTTTGTCTGCATTCCTACGGGGTGGTATTTTTCTTATTCCTTTTTATTAGTATTTGAAATAAGACTTTTTTTTTGGGGGGGGGGGGCGGTTTCTGAAACAGGGTTTCTTTGTGTTGCCCTGACTTTCCTGGAACTCGCTCTGTAGACCAGGCTGGCCTGCCTCTGCTGACTGAGTGCTGGGATTAAAAGCGTGTGCCACCACCACCCAGCTTGAAAAAAACTATTTTCAATTAAAAAAAAAAAGTCTCCGGGAGGTGGCGGCGCACTCCTTTTTTCAATTAAAACAAACAAATAAAATGTCATCAGGCTGTGGAGGCAGAGGCAGGCGGATTCTGTGAGTTCGAGGCCAGCCAGCTCTACAGAGTGAGTTCCAGGACATCCGGAGCAGTGCAGAGAAACCCTGTCTTGAAGAAGAGAGAGATATTAGAACACAAAATCGAATAATAATATTTATAGATAAAATAAAAGCAAACAAACCAGAATAGGACAAAAACAAAGAAACAGAAGAAAAAGAGCCAAAAGAAAAAAGCTCAAGAAACATATAGACAGAGATACACCCACTCAGACACAGAAATCCTATAAAATTATAAAACCAAAACAAAAGACCTGGAAGGTAAAAATGAAGAGGGGAAGCACCCTGACAAAGCACTGTGAGACAACCCCTCCCCCCAAAACTGAGGTTATTTTGTATTAGCCATCTACTGCTTGGATGTGTGGCCTGGCCTGAACAGTGACTGGTGGGGGGCTTTGTTTGTCTGAACAGAAGAACCTCCTACACCAAACAGTGGTTCGTATAGAGAGTTAGACCCCATTGGAGAAAACTAATTATTTATTTGTGATTACCAATGGGAGTTAGCTTCTGGGTTGGGGAGGTTTGGGGGGATCTTGTGTCCTTCCTCTCTCCGTGCTGGGAGCCCATCTGGTCCAGACCTGTGCCTCCATTCCCTCTGGCTCTTTCTATCTTTTCACCTCCTTTTCTGCAGAGTTCCCTGAAGGGAAGGATTAGATGGAGACTGAGTTTAGGACTGAGTCTTCGAGATCTTTCACTTTCTACACATTGTCCAGCAATGGAGGAGGTTTTTCTGATGATGGCTGAGCAAGAACACTGATCTAAGTATGAAGAAATAATAACTTCAGGAGTCATTTTATTAATCTAGCTATATCTATGTGTGTATATAATATATTATGCATTATATTTTAATATGTAATATTAATATGCAGTATATGTACATCCTGGCCCTTATGGGGATCGAATCCATGATCTTGGAGTTATTAGCACCACACTCTAACCAACTGAGATAACCTATGCATAGCCCAGGTTGGCCTCAAACTTGTGATCCTCTTGCCTCCACCTCCTTCAACAAATACTACCAGCGTGCTCAATAAATAAATAAATAAAGAGCTGGGCAGTGGTGACACACACCTATAATTCCAGCACTTGGGAGGCTGAGGAAGGTGGATCTCAGTGAATTCAAGGTCAACCTGAACAGCAAATTCCAGGACAGTCAGGACTGTTACACAGAGAAGCCCTGTCTTAAAAAACAAACAAACAAAAAACAATATATGTATACACACACACACACACACACACACACGACACACGGACAGTAGTAGTTGGTTTTCTCCTAGTTCCCTGGCCCATCTAGTCTCAGGTTCTTGGCTGCCTGAGAAGTGTCAGGTATGGGATTCATCTCATGGACAGCCCCTTAAATCAACCAGACATTGGTTGGTTACTTCCACAAGCTTTGTGATGCTATTGCCCCAGCATCTTACAAGCAGATCACCATTGTAGACTGAAGGGTTTGTAGCTGGGTTGGTGTTTACAGTTCTCCTCTGGTAGCAAGCAGAGTACCTTCCAGTACTGCGAACACTAGCCAGTAGGGGTGAAGGCCCTAGATAGGCACAAGCTCCACACCTCCATGCTCAACGAGATATGTAGATGTCTTCACCAATAGGGTCTTACTGTCAGTTTGTGGAGAGCAACCAATAACCTTGGCAATATTTTGGGTCGTTTGGGGGTTCTTATAGGGCTGCTTTGGCCAATGACTTGATTAGATATAACCCATTCCTGGAATGGGTTCATTTAGTAACGAGATGTCCAGATGGCGCTATATCTCCCCCATTATTTGGTGGTTTCATTCAGATCATCTTCATATATGTATATATTTTGGGAAGCTTCTACTGTTTAGGTTTCCACATAACCCTTCAAATGATCTTTAGTTTTAGCTATCCCTCCCTGTGTTTCCTCTCTCAACCCACTCTTCCCTCCCTTTCCCCTTTTGACTCCCTGTTCGAGTACCACCCCACCTCTATCCACCCATAACTATCTGTTCCATTTTCCCTTCATGGGGAGATCCAACACTCCTCCCTCATCCCTTACTTTATACCTAACCCCTATGGTTGTATGGATGGTAGCCTGCATATTGAAAATTTAACAACTAACATCCACGTATAAGTGAATAGATACCATTTTTGTCTTTGGGGTCACCTCAGCATAATTTTTTCAAGATTTCATTTTTTAACCACCGAGTAATACTCCATTGTGTAAATATACTGCATTCTCTTTATCCCATTCATCCACGGACAGACATCTAGTCTGTTTTCAATTTCTGACTATTATGTATAGAGTAGCAATGAACAGGGTTGAGCAAGTGTCTCTGTAGTAGGATATAGAGTCCTTTGGGTATATGCCCCAAAGTGGTATTTTAGTTAGGGTTTCTAGTGCTGTGAAGAGACACCATAACCACAGCAACTTTTGTAAAGAAAACTGTTTCATTGGGGCTGACTTACAGTTCAGAGGTTTAGTCCATTATCATCATAGCAGGAAGCATGGCTGCACACAGGCAGACATGGTGCTGGAGAGGTAGCATGTGCCAATAGGTGAGGCTCCAGGTTTGAACTCCCAGCACCAGCCCCCCAAATAACTTCCATGTAACTATCTACAAGTCATGATCAAAATATTATTTATAGTCAAAGTATCTAAAATTTGAATGTTTGTATAAAATTATTAAATCTATTTTCACTTATTTACAAAGGTTCTCTTTGTTTGTACTGGAGAGACGGCTCAGATACTCAGAGCGTATACTGCTTTTGCAGAGGACCTGAGTTTAGTTACCAGTGTCCTCCTCACAGGGCTTCCACCCACCAGCTCCAGGGTATCCAGCACCCTCCTCTGGTCGCCAAGGCACCTGTAATCATGTGCACAAACTCATATATTCACATAATTGAAATAAAAATTCAAGTTCTCTTTCTCTTAAGAAGTCAAATACAGATGATAGTGATAAAAAATTGAATAAAATTATTTAAGAAAACCTAAAGCTTTAGTCCTTGATAAATAATATCTTAGGAAGTGTATCACAATGATAAATTATAATTTGTTATTTAATGTTGAGCCATATGAATTGTTTAATATTGTTAAGTATTCTTTAGCTGCCGCATGTCATTGCTGGGAATGCTACTGTATTGTCTGAGTACGTCCGCAGCCATAAGCTGGACATACATAGAGAGGTTGGGAACTGGATGTTTGAGACTTGTCAGAAATAATTTCCCACTGTGACAGAATCTGTTATGTTATGAAAGGAGGGGTGAGTACTTCCCCAGTCCTTTCTTCTCACTAAGAGCTCTCATAGAGACCCTCCCTGCAGCCTGAAGCCATGTCCAGAAAAGCAGAAGCCTAGGGACAACCATCCTGTCTTCTATTGTGAGGACACAGGAGAAGAGCCCCTTCCAAGAAACATAAACACATACACTTTTATTTTTAAACTTTTATTTATGATTATGTGTGGGTAACTGCATGTATGTGAGTGCACGTGCACACACGTGTGTGTGTGAGAGAGAGAGACAGAGAGAGATGTGGGATGCCCTTCTGTATGCTGCAAATATGTTTTAGTACCATTGGTTAATAAAGAATCTGATTTAGCCAATAGCCATGCAGAATAGAGCCATGTGGGGAATCCAAGCAGAGAGGGAGAAAAGAAGTCAGAGTCAGGAAGATGCCAGCAGTCACTGGGGAAGCATGATTTGAGGTAACAAGCCACAAGCCTCATGGTAAAATATAGAATAATAAAAATGAGTTAATTTAAATTGTAAGAGCTAGTTAATAATAAGCCTGAGCTAATAGGACAAATGATTTGTAATTAATATTAAGCCTCAGAGTGGTTATTCGGGAACTGTCTGGTGGGAGTTACATGTGTGTGTATTGTGTGAGTGTATTATTGTGGGGTATTCACAAGAGAAGACTGCTCAGACATAGGCTTACACCAGTAGAAAATCTGAATTAGCTGGCTGGTGACTACACTGGGTGTTCGGGCTCCCAGTGCAGCGCTAAGCCTTTCTTGGGGTGAGCTTTTAAGCACAAAACCATGTTCTGGATTGACACACTTCAGTTAACAAGAACAGTTATCCAGAAGTGGAACTACAGAAGCTAAAAAGCAAGGTTAGTACATTAGAGACTCTCCCAGAACTCTATGGACTT